GCCATTGGCAGATGAAGAGAGATTTAATGCATCTGTGTGTAGATGTCTCAGGCTCCAGTTACCGATGATGGAGCCCTGGGAGCTGTTATGCTGACCCTACCTATGGTATACACATTTGTTAAGTCAGGTGACTAGTTTCTTGCTCCATTAACTGTTGAATAGCTCTGCATTGGTAGTGATTGGGGAGTAGACATCTACATGTAAATAGTTGTTCTTTTAAACCTCAATTGGAAGCCTTCAGCCTGTTGAAAAATCATTAAAAGTAAGATAATAATGTGAAAAGGCTATAATTTTCAAAAATACTTCTTTACACAGCCAATCCCACCACCAGTAGTCCTACAGAGTAATAAAAGGAGAAGCCAGAAACCCAGAATCCATTCAATCCTATACATTAACTCTTCTGTTATATAAAGTATTTCTGAATCAGTTTTAAAATAGTGTGAGGATTAGGAGATCTTTAGGGTAGCCTGCAGTCGTTCTGGTTATGTACTTGTCTCCCTGTGGGTCTTGTGCCCCTGCTACTGGACAATGTGCTTCAATGTGGTAGGCCAAAGTTCTCCCAACAGTTAATAGTCCTGTAAGAAACAAACAGAAAAACACCCACCCAACCACAAAAAACCCAAACCCAACCCTGCTAGTTTTTGTAGCAAGAGTTTCCTTCCAATGTTGCTTTTAGTATCCTGGCAGACTTCCCAAAGAATGCTGTTATAATGATTCATACTAATATTAATGTTACCTGAAATAAATAATTTACCTCATATGCCTTTAAGGAAATAGGGCACTGAGAAGCTTACCTTTATCAAGCCTGAAAATAAATCTTAACTATTAGAGGAGAAAAGTGGTTTTTTTCCTCTTTGGGCTTATTTGTAAGTCTTATTGTGAGAAAGGCTTCTGCTGCTTCCAGGGAGTCTGAGATCTTTTGTGAAATTTTACCTTATAACTCAAGCTGAGGCAAGATACTTTCCTATGTAGCAATTTTTGTTCTGCTCTGTGTTTTGGAGTCTTTGCACTGAGGAAGGCCTGTCCCACTATGAACAGTGTGGTGCTGTGGTGATGCTTGATACTGGACATGGCTCATAGGCATCCACCTGAAAGAGAAACGTTTTCCTTGGGATTGCAGAATTGCAATTTGAAGTTTAGTGTCTGTGTCACTCATTCTCGTTGGAATGCCTTGACCTCTGGGTCAGGGGTTATTTGAGCATTAAGTTGTGTGCTGACTCCCAGTTGCTTGTTTGTGCACATATATGGGGGTTTGGGTTGAACACCTTTTGTTTTTACTATTCTTGCTCAGTATTGCTTCAGAAAATCTGTGGTGATCTCAAGAACTCTTTCTGATAAAAACTAGTGCATGTGGTTTTATTTTAGTTTTCTATTAACTGACAGGTATCTGCAAGAATCTTTGAATTCAGTAAATTGTCATTTCCTTGTAAAAAGAGGAAATTTGTTTTTAAAAATAAAACCCAAGTAATCATCATTTAACTTCTTTTGGGCTCTTTTCTCCCTGTATAAAGTGAAAGATAAAGCCCAACTAGAAACATCAGTCAGAGCGTTATGAGTTACAGTGCAGCACTGAAGGGGCTGTAAGTGATGTCTTTGCCTTTATTAAACAAAGAATATGAAGTGCCTTTCACTTCTCTGTGGCTGTGCTCTATGCAAGGTAATTCCTAAGTGCATGTTAAAAGGAAACCTACCAAAATACAAGATACATTGCTCTCATACTTGCTTCTTCTGTGAAGGAGTCTGTAAGGGATCCACGTGCAGGATTACTGGAAAGGATGCCTCGGCTCCTTCCCCCTGAGCTGTGGTGACCAGTATTACATCTCATGGTTGTAGCTATGCCAAGCTCCTCTTTATCCAGGACAGGCATGGTCCCAAAGCAGGAATATATTGCACTTGATACAAATTGCTGCAAACTGACAGAAATGTTCACAAAATTTAAGCGTCTCAGACTGTCAGGTTTCTTCTGCTCTTCCTTCTGACACACTTGTCTTTAGAATAGTAAAATATGCTTTTGCACGTATTTGCCAAGTTCATCTCAAGATGATACAGAGAGATACTTTTATGGCTGTATTTAATTTTTTTTTTTAAGAGAGAAAATGAGTGATCCACCAATCCAATTTTCCAAACAAGATTGTTGCCTGGTGCTGATACTTGCAGGCCCAAGAAATCTTTATGCTTCTGTCTGTTACTGTCTGGTGCCCAGGAAGATCCTGATGATTCTGATTTTCTCACACTAGAGAGAACTGAATTATTGCTGCTAACATTAGAGTTGATTATTACCGGCCTATGAGATGCAGCTGAGTCCTGGGTTCATACAGTTTAAGGCTCTGATGTACGAGCAGTGGTGCCTGTAGCTGTAGAAACCCATGTTCCTGCCCACTCCATCTCTGTACAGAAAGGATGACATTTTCCATGGCAAGGATGCCCTGTTGCAGAAGGGTGACACCTCACTCTGTTCAAGCTTGTGTGTTAGACCTCTATGACAAGCTGCATTAGATTAAGGGTGTGTGTGAGAGCTGTAACCCAGTGCTGACTCCAACAACTGAGGCCAGCTGTGATCAAGTCTGTGCTGATGGAGAGGCAGGGACTGGTGGGTGATGCACTCTTTATTCCTGCCTGTGTGAGAGGAAGGCAGTTTCTACCAACAAGAGGAGGAGGTTTTTGTTCATTCTTCCCTGCTCTGCTGATGAGAGCATGCCTGCTTTCCCAGAGCTCCCATCTGCCCTGCAGGCTCCCAACTAGACACATTCCCAGAGTCCTGCTCTGCCTCTGGCCCCTCATCCTTGTGGACCTTGCCTTCAGATCTGCCTGCCTGGGAAATCTTTGCTGGCTTTGCCTAATAATTGAGATGAATGATTGCTGTTCCCGTGGTCTAATTGCACATGTAATCTATTCTTTCCTCTTTTCCAGGACTCTTCTTTCCACAAAATAAACCCCAACCACAATAAAACCACACACACACACACAAAAAAAAACCCAAAAAAAAAACAGATTTTGCTGTTTAAATGAAAAGCAATGAAGGGCAAAAGGAAGCAGTGGGATTTTTTCTTTCTAGATACACTTACTGATGCTATGAGGAATGTTTGCTTTTCTCTGTGAACAGCAGACCTTTGCATCACTCGGAAACTAAATGCAACGCTGAGAACTGCTTGGTAGCATTTCATCCCAAAAGGATGCTGTTGCACTGTCATTTTACGAGACTGATTACTTTCTAACTGACCTACTAGGAAAAAAACCCAAGCCCATATTTTGTGACCTCTCCTATGATTCCTTGCCGTTGCTGCATGCCAGGAAACTCCTCTGGTTCTTTCCCTCAGAGTGACTGTCACTGGCATCGTATGCTAATTCAACCAGATAAATGTTACTGGGTGCCTAGTAGCTAAACAAGTTTTCTGTAGCCATTTTTGGCATGTGTATCTACATATGAATTAACTTGGTTTAAACTTGATTTAATCTGCAGTGAAACTGTGCTGATCAACTCATGTAAAATGGTTGTTAAGACTACATGCCTGTTGTCTGCTTAGGAAGGAGTACACTGTTTTGTTTGGTATAGTTGTGCCAGAATCAGTCTTCAGTATGATATGTGGTGGACTTGATAAGTAACTGTATTTAGTAATTAATTTCTGAAACACTAAATAAATAATAGAAGTTATGAAGGCCCTGTTGTGGTTGTCAACATACACATTCAGTACGTTCAGTTTGTGCTAATATTTAAAGTTTTGTACCTTGTCTATTAACATCCAAATGCTAAGTTAAGAGCAGAAAAGGAGTGTCAGAATTCATCATATGTCCTTCATAAATCATATGGGAGCCTAGGTTAAGTGAAGTGTGATAATCCCACTCTTGTCTTGGATACTGGAGAGCCTTGGTTTAGCGTTGGAGTGCACTACAATTCGTAGCGGCATAAAGGACTTAAGGATAACACATAGATGTACAAATGCATATCTGAAGTGAATTAAAGAAACAGGGGCTTAAAAAACATCAAAGAAACAGGGACATCACTTATGAGAGGTTCTCTTTGCACAGTTTGGAATTACAGGAAGCCTTTAATGTGAGACTCAATTTTTTCCTCTCACTCTGAAATATCTTAGTGTTGCTACCATGTTGCGTATGGGCTGAAGTATAAATGGGAATTGGGGTCGAAGTTGGCCTGATAACCAAATGAGCAAGGAACCAGGACAAAGTCCAGCAGTCAACACCAGATGTAATAAGTTGTAAAAAATGAGATGGATGGTACTTCTGATAAGTGGCAGCTTGGATGCTCCAAAACTGCTTAGAAATACATAAAGAGGTACATAACACTTCCTGTTTTCATTTCTCTGTGAGCTAATGGGTAGAACAAGGGCATCGATACGCTAAATTTCCACTCTGGTAAGCTTGCAGTATATATACTGGAAAGAAAATTGATGATTTCTGATTCTTAGGCTGTAGAAATCTGATTTTCTTGAGGTAGTATTTATCTGAATTGGATTTACTAATTAATTATCTGCAAGGTAAAAAGTGGTTCTGTCTTCTGGCCCATATTAAAATCAGTAGCTTCAATATGGTGGTAATACATGTAGGGATAATTGTGCTTTAGAGTGGGTTTTTCTTTTAAAAACCAAACTCCAAATGCTACCTTCTCTTTGGAAGAAGAATGTGATTTCATGAAAAGTTGTATGGAAAATTGTTTTGTTGGGTGAAAAGAAATTGCAGAGCAGTCCTTCTGAAATGACTTCTTATTCTTCTATATAAAGGTTTTATTGCTAGTATGTAATGTTGTTGGGGAAAAAAACCTTACTGAATAATGGAATATGACTTTTGTAGGCATTTTCTAACTTTTTAATTGTCAAAACTGTTATCAGAGCATGAAAGAATTAGTATGAATCTTAACAACTGCATTTGCTACTTTTTAGATGTGCAAACAAAATTTACAGCTTTGTGTAGAAGTAAGATGGAAAAAAATTTGCATCTCACATCTTTTTTGTTTGTTTGTTTGTTTGTTTTCCTTTTTATAATAGGGCTTTATTTGTCCTCTTTGTATGAAGTCTCATGGATCAGCTGAGGAGCTATTCAAACACTATGAAGCAGTTCATAATTCTGGCATTGATTCAACTCGTGGAGGGGAAGGTCATCTGTCACCGGAAAGGTGAAAAACAGTACTCATTTGTGCATGTGCTTTTGTATCAGTGTTGAGCTGCTTCTAATTACACTGAAGGCTGTATTAATTTGAATACTTACTTATGTAGTCAGGTATTTAAATGTTCATGCCCTATTTTTCCAACTAGAATTAAAAAGGAGCTTGAAACTTACATTGATATGGATTTGACAATAAATGAAAATCAGATACACATGTTCATGACAATAATTAAGTCAACTGTTTCTGATGCAACTGACAATGCAATATTACAGACCAGAATGATTTTTACAAGTGTTGCAAAAAAATACAGATTCATTCTAACTGCTGACATAGAGCTGAAATATCATCGTTTGAGGGCCGGGGAGGACAACCCTGAAGATAGAGAAGAAACCCAATTTTGTCCCTGGGTAGGTAGGGTACTTACTGGGTAATCACAACATCAGTATTTGCTTAAATAGTTTCCCTTATCTAGTTATTTGCAAATCTGAGAAGTTTCTGTTTGTGCCACTAATCTTCCTTTTGTGTTTCAGAATCTCCATGCTGTTCTTCAGAAATCTTCTCTAACTTATTTTATTTAATTGTTTGGTCAAAACTGTATTGTTACATGCATCCTTAGGAAGCATATCAGGTGGTTTTATTTTTGAGAGCAGCGGTATGTAGCAGGAACTGATAACATGAAACGTTCTCTGGAAATGTTTTACCAAGTAGTTCTACCTGTGTTGGTTTGGGAAGGTTTCTCTTGGGGGTAAAATTTACATAGGTTCTGTTTTGCTTCCTACTAGTTTCCTTTCTGTTCAGTGCTTGTTTTGTACTGTTGTAAATAACAGTCCATGGTGCTGTTTTGTCACACTCCCCCAAACTCCCAGGTTTTACGTAGAATGGTCAGAGCGGGCAGCACAGAGGTACACACCACACCAAGCTGTGGCTTCTGCTGATGCTGGCAAATAGAGAGTTCAAATGTTTTGTCACTAGCAGAAATGTGACCCAAAATGATAATTATATTGTAAGAAATACCTATATTTATGTAACTAACTCAAGAGAGGGTGGTTCTTTGGTGATAATAGAGTGTGGAAGGTAAAATAGTTTAGTTGTTATCCAAATGCAGATCTGTACCTCCCCAGTATTGTGCAGAGCTGGCAAGCCAGTAGGAGCCAGCATTAGCACAAGTCTCGTCTTCATGCGTGAATGATTCCTTCCTTGTGGATAGCAGCTTTCTCTGTCAGCTGCTGCAACAAAAGAGATCAGAATTAGGGGTTTATATAGGATAAAGTGGTGGGGTACTAGTGGAGTCATACTGGGTTTCTGATGTGCACAATTATTCAAGAATGAATATTTCTACTTTGTCTGCTTTCAGTCTTTTTGGAGTAATACAACTTAGACCCGAGGTGATAGTTAAGAAGGATAATAGCATTCAGATGGGGGAATTACTGGTCATAACTATATTGTTTATATAGTTTATGAAATACGTATTTTTTTATTTTTATGTCTGCAAGTTTCCAATGTCAACCAGATGTTGGCTGGTGAAATTTATTTTTTTCATTTTCCTAACTCTTGACAGTTTAAGGTTTTGTTTTCTCTCACATAATTGGAAAAGTGGACAAGGTCAGGGATTTTTAATGGGGTGAAGGGAATCTGGTAAGAGCCATTGTGTAACACATGAGCTATATTTTCCGATTAGTGTGGCATTCTTTAATGCTTCTCAGTTGTATACTTGCTTGAGAAAACTCTCATTCATCATAAACATGTTTATCCAAGACTTGGAATTTTGTATTAAATATTGCAGCCTGCAGCAGGGAGTCACTCCATTAGCTCTCAATGAGTGAAGCTTATGTGTATTTCATAGGACCAAGACTGGGAGGTGAAATTACCTATTTAGTCAATAGGGAAAGTTAGGTGCTATGAATTACATAGTGTCCTCTTCCTCCCAGTCCCCAGTAAACTACTATGATTAAGGGCCAAGAGTGAATCACGTAACTCTCCCCAGTGTGATTCAGCAAGGCCATCAGTACTCAGTCCTAGGATAGAGGCATAAGTGGGGAACAGATTGGAGCATAAGGAGAAAGTAGTAAGGATTTGCCAGCTGGTAGGCTCAGATGTGCTGAGAGCAGGAAGAGATTGTAACACCCCTAGCAGAAAAGGAGGTTTGGTGAGGATTTGGATGACAGGAAGAAAAGCAAAGTTACAGTGTCTATAGTGATCCCTGACACTAATTATCCCCCATTTATTTTCCACTGGTCAGTTAAACTGAATTTCGGTTTTGTCTGAAAACTGTCAAGCAAAATTTTGTGGGGGATATCAAGGCAACTACTGTAGAAAGGTCCTTACATTACAAACTTTTTTTCCCTTCTCCTTCCCCTCTACTACAAACTAGTTTTATACGACTCAAACCCTTTAATGTACTGCAAAGACCAGAGTGTCTTAAATGCTTTAATATTGGAGGTATGGTATATATTCAACCTGATTTCAATACAGTTAACTGTTTCACCTGCCTGAGACACTGTTTATAATCTTAGATGTGAATATTATCTGATTTACTTACTCGTACTGGTGAGAAAGCTGCTCCCTCTTCTCCACCCACAACCAGTGTACGGGTTTTGGATTACAGCTATACCTGCCTCAGTAAAGTTGTATCTGTAAACCTCTAGTAAATGTATCACACTGGCAGAATAATGTGTTCATAACAAAATTTTCCTCTGGAAAAAATAAATCTACCAATATCCCATGTTTGTTTTATCTTTAAACTTGGTCTGCCTTGGAGTTCTTGCTCTAATAGTTCAAGTGCATGCATTTCACTTGATACTTGATGATCCTGACTTGCTATCAATAGGCTAATGTGGATTGAATCTATTTGTTACCAGTTTAGCTAAGGAATAGCTTGATGTTTTTTTCCTCCTAAGTGTGAGATAACTTAATATCTGTGGAGGAGGGGTAATGCAATACAGCAGCAATAAAATTATGTGATATAAAACTGAATGAATTTGTTGGCACTGGCACCCACGCACATATTCTGTGCGTTGCCACTGCAAAAAATAAGAAAGAGTATTTTTTCATTATATTAATGGCACTTGTATTCTAGATTTGGAGTGTCTGTATGCCAGTAATGCAACATTATCCTTGTATGTATAGTTGTGCAATTCTGTAGGGAGACTTGTGACTTTGAAGGATGCTGTGTGAATCAATTAGTAACAGTTGTAGCCTTGGATCTTGTGTTCTTGCATGACTGGAGGCTTTCGTATGAAATTTGAGAATTTAAAATTCTTAGGCTTTAAATATGCAGACCATTAAATGAATGTGTCTGCCGGGCATACCAAATTGCCATGTGGATGAAAAATTACGTAACTTTAGAAAGGGTAAATGTAACTTTAGAAAGTGACATGTTGTCACTTACCAGTATTCCCTTACATGATATGGGAAGTAAAGGAGAATAAATCTGTCCTTTTTGTAAAAAGGCATGCAAAACGGTTAAATTTTCCAATGCACAGCTTTGTTACTCTGAACTCATGTGGCTGAACTGATGCACTGATTTAGATTTACATTCTGTTTTCCTGAGACCTTTTTCATATCTGTTCCTTTACTTACCCAGTTAATATGTTTGGCATTTTTCAAGTGATATGCAAAATGATATTGATCTGATTTGTTCCAAGTTTGAAAAAAATCTAAAAGTACCTATTCATAATTATGTAAGTTATATTTGGGTAGTACATGGCTATCAGTCCAGTTACTTAACATTATAACCTGTATGTAACTGACAAAATATAACCATTGTGTATTCATTTTCTTCACTCTGTGGATATGTTTATTCAGAGATGAAGTATCACTGCTCCGACAAGAAGTCCAAGACTTGCAAGCTTCACTGAAGGTTGGAAATGTATTTTACTTGCACTTTGTTTTTTGTTTCAAATTGCAAAGTAGTCCACTGTCTGAAGCAACCAAATTTATAGTTCTCTCTTCCCATCTTCTTTTTTGTTTTTGTTGTTATTTTCCCCCTAGGAGGAGAGGTGGTATTCAGAAGAGCTGAAGAAAGAACTAGAGAAATTGCAGGGGCAGCGGCAGCAAGTAATTGCTTTAAAATACTTGAAGCAGGTTTATCGTCAGCATTGACATTGAAGATTAATACCTTTTTTGTAAGGCACGTGGCCTGATTTAGTTAGTTCTGTAATTTAAATATTGACATGTTCTTGGTAAAACAAAGCTAGTTATCGCTCCACAATGTAACTGGATTTATAAATGTGAAGAGCAAAGTCAGAATAGGTAATGATTCCTCCATGCTACTCACTACAAATTCAGTTCAGACTTCTGTTAGGCTTATTGAGAACTTAGATTATTAAATAAAATAAATTGAATGTGGTGTTTCATTGCTTATGAGAAAGGACAGTGAAGTCTTTCTTGTAAAAACTTTTGGAAAACAGCAGTGGGATTTTATAGGTATTCAGATGAGCTCAATAAACAAGGCAAGACAAACTGTGGTCTGTTGTGCCCTAAAGGAAGCTCTCACTTCTTTTATTACTGTGAGCTACTTAGATACTGAATAGTTACAAAGCTCAGAAATTGCTTTCTGACAGAATGCCTTCTCAGAAAGTACTTAAAGATGTCTGTAACCTCTGTTTTTAGGGCAGATTTCTATAATGACAAAAGGAGGGGGAGGGGATTGTTACTGGAGTTTTGCAAGTGGAAACCTTAATAGTGTATTGATATATGAAATGAAAAGTCTTTTCCAGTCTTTCAGATATAACTGTTTAAAATCAGGTATTTTTATATTGCTGTGCATTATTTGAGCACAGAAGTGCTTTCCCTGTCTTTTCCAAAAACTGGATGAACTTTGGAAGTAGTAGTTTTTATTCCTACTATCTAATGGTGCATTTATTCTGTTTTCTTAAGGATTCTAAGTCTGATGGATTGACAACAGCTACATCTACAGGTGGCTAACATTTTATTATATTAATTTCTGCACTGTTTTGGAATTTCTTTTGGTGTAGTTTAGGTAACTTAGCAATTTTGGTACATTAAAGAGCTAGAAAGCTGTCATGGTACAATTACCAGGAAAAAAAGTTATTGTAAGAGCTATTAAGAGCTATCTATCTTAAGCAATAGTCTGGGGAAATGTTCCAGAGGCTCAGGGTTTGAAATTTCTAAAAGCAAGACAGTAGTTCTCCTGACTCTGAAAGTAGTACTCATGAGTCATTTTGGACAGCTGTTAAATCGCTATATATTCAAGCAATCAGATATTTAAACGATAGCATTTGTCAGGAGTGGTTTTATTTAGTGTTTTTCTTACTCATCGCTACCAAAGAAAACATTTAAATTTGTTTTTGTTTTGCAGACCACTAATTTTTGCTCTACATTTTTCTCCGTGGGGCACTCATAGAATAACGTTTTCCCTATGTGCACATAAACTATTTGACCGATACTGATTAAAGCTTTTAATCACAATTCGGGGCTTGGAATTCAGCAGCATGTTGCAGTGATCTGAAGGGCCATTTGTGACCAGTGAAAACCAATATGTACTTAATCCTGCAGAGCACACAACTAGTGACAGGTTCCGGCATAACGCTTGTAGATATTTAATTTCAGTAAAGTTGTTCACTTTGCTAAGCTGATTGGATGGTAAGGGATTTTGGATACGTATTTACCTGTTGTGGTTAGTTACGGGCATGAGGAACTGTATTGTCCTAGTTCTTCCAGAAAATAATACTGTTCTTTTTATGGAAATAGAATCATTAGAACGGCAACTAGAAGAGATCCAAGTAGAAAATTTTAACATTAAGCAAATGAAAGACTTATTTGAGCAAAAAGCAGCGCAACTGGCCACTGAAATTGTGGGTAAGTATATTAATATGAGATCTGATTCTGTTCTTTACTTGTGCAGCTTTTGCAAGGGATTTATTCAACTTCCTTCTTACTAGATCTTAAATCAAAGTATGATGAAGAAATCAGCCTTCGGGAAGGTGCAGAACAGAAAGTGACAAACCTGAGACAAGAACTGCAAAAAGAGAGAAGTACAGTGGAAGACTTAAAGACAGAGCTGGTATTCACATCACATTAATGTTTTTGTTATTTTCAAGTCAAGAGAGGGGCATACTTGAGTGCTTGTAAACACAGTTTTAAAGCAGTCAAACTCTGTTGTACATCTGCTTGTGGGCTGAGAAAGTTCAGAACACCATTGTTTCTGATCTGTTTCTCTGATCTACATTTTCAGTGGTTTTCTAATGAGAAACTATATGTTTTTTCTGTCATATGGTAAATTAATTTACCCTTCATTATGTTCTAGCCTGCTTGTTCGATCATAGAATCAACTGGGTTGGAAAAACATCAGAGATCATCAAGTCCAACCCTTGATCCAACACTGTTGTGATTACTAGACCGTGGCACTAAGTGACACATCCAATCTTATTTTAAAAACCTCTAAGGATGGTGAATCCACCACCTCCTTGGGCAGCTCATTCCAATGTCTGATTACACTGTCTGTAAACCTCCCCTGGCAGAGCTTAAGACCATGATGCGCTACCCTTTAGAATTTTTGCAGGGTATTACACATATAGATGTGTTGTGCAGACCTGTACTTGGAGCATGCTATTGCTGACTTCCACAGCTATATTTAGGTCACCCTTTTTCCATGAGGTTATGCTTTGGCTGTCCCTGGACAGCTGCATTTTTAAGAAGTGCTCAGAGACATGTTTTGTGGCATGATGGCTGAAAGACTGGCAGTTGTCATCATCATGTCTGTGTTAATCTTGTCCCTCTTGTGCTTGGCTGATAGTACCAATGTGTGTGTATTGTAAGATTTTGGCTCCTGTTGACTTTTATATGCAGCCATGGCTCCAGGGAGCAATCCCAGTGACTCAGCAAGTTGGGCCACTTTTAAATAAGTCATGAAAGGAAGTTCCTAGTTTCTCCCACTCAGCTTCTGCTACTCTGGAGGAAAGTAGGACTTGTTTATCCCCCTTATTTCCCATAGCTGACTGCCCTGAAGAGCCTCTTGGCCATTTTTAGATCTGGACCTATCCATTCCTCTCTGTTCAGTTGTTTCTTCTCTTCCCTTTTCCTCTGCATTCTTATCCTTTTCCTGTACCTTTTCTCTTCTAGAGATGACAGCACTCTTTTTCTCTGCTTTCTTCAGTGCTCATAGTTACCTTCCATCTCCTTTCCCTCCATAGTGCTTCATGTTGAGAGAAGTTAAGGTGCTTTAGATGCAGCTACCAGCAGATTTTACCTGTGGGTTTGGTATGAGACATCAGCAACTTGAAGATAGTGTCTTCAAGACATTTCCTTCAGCCGCCCTTTTGTTTTCTGTTCTTGTGATTTTCTGAAACAGTTCTAGAAGATGAGGCAGTATCCTGTATCTAACCATCTACATACATAAAAATTACAGAAATTTAATCTTTGAGACATTTTCCCATTTTGTCAGATTTGGTTCAAATCAGTCAACAAGTTAGAAGTTTAGTAGGCAAAAGCTGAAAACCAGTCCTTAAATCCTGTTTCCTTTGGAAATGATAAATACTTCTCTGTGGTTTTGTTTTGGGGAGGTTTCTTATCTCTTTTTTTTTTTTCTTTATTTTCTTTTCCCCCTCAGCCTAGCTGTGATACACTATATGTCATCTTGTCTATAAATTGCTGATTTGATAGATTTTTAGAAATTACATTGACACTGGAAGCATGTCTGCCAACATTATGTTGCTCACTGCTATTCAACTTTTCAGCTTCAAAGGCCTGGTGTGGAAGATGTGGCTGTTCTGAAAAAGGAGCTGGTCCAAGTTCAGACACTGATGGATAGAATGACTCTGGAACGTGAAAGAGAATCTGAAAAACTGAAAGATGAGTGCAAGCACTTGCAGGCAGAGCAGGCTAACTCTGAGGTAATAATCATACCTAAAGATGTGTGTTCTAGCTTTGTCATGATTATCATGTGAAAATGGAATATATTGCTTAATCATTATGAAAAACTCTTTTTCTTAATTGAATCTTCTCATTTATCTAATAGGCAGTAAATTGCATAATTCTGTCAATATTCAGTCTCCAAAAGCCCCTGCGCTTTTCATTGCAAAACCTTTTCTTGGCATAAAATGTTATTACGAGATCCCAATAGCACTGGAAAAAACCCAGCAGAGCTGTGTTCTTTCTACAGGGAGAGATAAATAGAGCAATACCTGTGTGATTCAAAGGCTTGTTTCTCTTATTGAGCTACATGCAGATAAAAACAGTTGTTGAAAATGATGGGTTTGGTTAATGTTTGAGTTGATGTGCCTGCAAATGGATGCTAGAGTGTTAAAATACATTAAAAAAAGATTAACACAAGATGGATGATAATTTCAATATGCTTATAGGACATATGTAATTCTTGAACTTACACTAGATTTAAACATCTCAATGGATATTGTAGACTGGTTTTCATTCTTTTTTCCTGGTTTTTCCTTTCAAAGGGAAGACCTTTTTGCACCTGTTATGTAATGGAGGAAAATTTTGTGTGTAAGGAAAAAATTTGTTGTGCGCACATATACCCCCACCCTCCGGTCCCCTGCATAATGGCCTCCAAGTGTTGCTTCTTACCGACTAGAGCAGAAAGTGAGTGAGTGCCAGGCCTCACCGTGTCTGAAGATCAAGGTGTCAGGCTGCCACCTCTAATGTTTCCAGGCAACAGCACCTTGGTTTGTCTCTCTCTTACTGCAGTCTAAAGTATAAAATAAAATCTGTTGTTCTCATAGTATTTTTTTAATGCATATTACATTTTCGATCTTTTCCTGGATTTGTGCTTTTTAAATTCATCACATATAGAAAGGGACATCGCTATCTACTTGAGTTGCTGATTTCTTCAGAAGTACTTTGTGAAGGCTCACTCTGCTTTGTCTGAGTCAGTGGAAGAAGTTTTAAATCGCTGATGGGAGATTTGAAAACGTTGGCCCATTTTTTATGTTTTTGTATATGGAATTGATTATAACTCTGTATTTAAGGAAGCAAAGTAACTGCCTCTCTCATAGCAGACATTCAGTTTTCTTGGTTTGGGTTCCTTTGCTTTTCCACTAGTGAACACTTCCATACAAGATAAAGAAAAAGGGATGCAACAGTCAGATTTGGATCTGTAAGAGATCTTCACTCCTCAAACTGTCTTAAATCACTCCTAGCTAAAGCTTGTTCAATGTTTACCTTGATAGTGACGGAAATCTCTGACAGAGATAATGGCAAGAAATTCTAATAAACACACAGTATCACAAAAAGGCTTTTATATAACCTATAATTTAGTCTATTTAGGAGTTGTTAAATCCATACCTCTCTTGTTAGGTGTTGTTGCATGTCGCTGATGAGTTGGTTGATATGGTTTTACTCATGGATGACTTGACTGTGTTACAGTCTTCACAGAAGACAGTCAGCTGTGTTTGAGACTTTTTGATTTTGTCCCCTACCTCTTCTGTTGTCCCCTACCAATGCAGCAATGCCAGCAAAACTTGTCAGTGCAGAGCTGTGGTCCCTCATAAAATCGGGTCCTTGCAAAATTCTCCGGCTTACGTGAGGGAATGCTTAGAGTTTCTCTAGGACTCCTAGTATTCTCTCTCCTGTTGAGATTTGGGGATATGAAGAATTTCTGACATACTTTGTTCTGGGGTTTCACGTACCCTAGATTTTAGAACTGAAGTTTTAACTTTCTGTTTCTTCATTTGCACTGTAGAGCTTTAGAGAAATATTGCAGGGTATTATTCCAAATCTTTCTGTCTCACTCCCCAATGGGTATGTTTAGCTCTAGGAATTATAGTGTGCACAGTATGTACAATACAGTATGTACAATATGTATAGTATTATACTAAACATGAATCTACCATTGTTTTCAAGTTAAAATTATGTATGCCAAGTGCTTCATCAGATATGAAAAAGGAATATCAAGTTGGCATTATGAATATAAAGTACTATGCGGCCATGTAAGTTGCTGCATAATTGTAATTTGGTTTTAACTGTGTGATCCCACAACTATGCTGCGGAATTTAAGTTTCATTTCAGAATACCGTCTTTTTAGTCCTTTTGTGGTTTTGGATATTTAGTTTTGATGTGAAGATGAAATGACAGTGACGTGGGCATAACAAAAACCTTTCATCTTGAAAACATTTTCACAGAAGCATGAATTGCTCCTGTTCCCCCAGATTAGGTATGTTGAAGTTTTGACAGAAATAGCCATTTTAAAATTTAGCTATCAAGTGCAGCCTTTAACAGGAAAAAAGACAAGCAGGCTTTTTCAGTCCTTCTGGAAGTGTAACAGCAGATGGGGGAGAAGGTAACAGTGAAGGGGGGTAACATCAGACTGGCGACCTGTCACTAGTGGGGTTCCACAGGACTCCATCTTGTGTCCAGTACTCTTCAACATCTTCATAAATGTCTTGGATGCCAGACTGGAAGGGATACTAAGCAGGTTTGGAGACAATACAAAACTGGGAGGAGCTGCTGATTCCTTTGAAGGCAGGGAGACCCTGCAGAGAGACCTTGACAAATTGGAGGACTGGGCAATCACCAACCATGTGAAGTTTGACAAGGGAAAGAGCTGGATTCTGCACCTGGGATGGGGCAACCCCAGATGTATGTACAGATTGGGGAATGAGATGCTGGAAAGCAGTGCCATGGAAGGGGACCTGGGGGTCCTGGTCAGTGGCAAGTTGAATCTGAGTCAGCAGTGCCCTGGCAGCCAGGAGGGCCAACCATGTCCTGGGGGCATCAGGCGAAGCATCACCAGCCAGTTGAGGGAGGGGATTGTCCCGCTCTACTCTGCACTGGGGCAGCCTCACCTTGAATATTGTGTGCAGTTTTGGGCACTGAAATGTAGGAAAGATATTAAGCTCTTAGAGAGTGTCCAAAGGAGATCAGTGAAGATGGTGAAGGGCCTTGGAGGGGAAACCATATGAGGAGTAGCTGAGGTCACTTGGTGTGTTCAGCCTGGAGGAGACTGAGGGGAGACCTCATTGCAGTTACAACTTCCTTGTGAGGGGAAGGGGATGGGCAGGCACTGATCTCTTATTGTTGGTTTTCCCCTCCCCTTTCCTAAACAAAGCCATTGGAAACACCTAAATATTTTAAAACAAATTTGAGGAAGTGTGTCTACTAACAGCTTTTCTGGCTGCTTATTTCCATCTTTCAAAGTCCATTTTATTTTTTCTGCTCTCTAATGCAGATACTTAAATTTGAGGTAAATATCTTTGGAAAGGATTTTATTCTTGTCACAGATTTCTGTTGTATCAAGATAATTTCAGGAGGTTGTTAAACAGAAGCATTCCTGATTTTTTGTTGATTCATTAATCATACATATCAACAAGAAAATACAAGGAATGAATATTTATCCAGGATATATTCCCCTGTTAAGAGTGGAACGTGGGATGGGCTTACTAAATTGTGAATGAGAAATGAATCTTTATGCATATAAATTACAATTATAGTTGGAAAGGCTGCAGTGGTGTCCTTTGTAAGTTTCTGCACATTTTCTGTATTACATTCTCTCAGTATGAAATATCCATACTCTGTTTTGTGATAACATCCTGGAATGTTTATCTGACAAAGACAGATCCTATGGTGTGTTTTAGCTAATATCTCTGTTATGAAACAGCTTTGTAAATCACAACATTACAGAAAGTCATTTAATAACTATATGTAGTCATATAATGTGTTCATATGTTCTCTTTGGTGTTCCTTTTTCTGTAAGGAGGTTGTAAATAGTATTTGTACTGTCTTCTGTTCTACTTTAGTTCATTCTTGAATTCCGTATTTATACGTTTGTGCAGAAATCTGTGGTTACAAGAACAATAGGAAGAAAAACTTATTTAAAAAGGCCACTATTATATAGTGTATTTGAAATGAGCGCACTAATACACAGCACACTTTAGAGCAGCTATGCCCTAAAGTGCCTCTCTTTTCTTCCATTACTGTATTCAGATACCGTGCAGTCATTCATATATTCTGTTTTGTACTAGTGCTGTTTAATGGGGTAGTATTGCTCCTCTGATTGTGCTGACCTCCAGCGCTGATATGTCCAAAAGTCACATACCAAGTTTGTATCAAATGCCAGGCTTGCTTCTAGTGCCTTTTGCCGTACATTGCCCTTATCAGGGCACCCAAGATTTTGGCCCAGTAACTGCAATGATTTGGAAAAGTTTCACTTGAGCTAGAACCGTGATAATGATTAATAGATAATGTGTTACAATTTTCATCAGTTTTTGAACTCAACCTGGCATTTGCTATTGGACTGGATCAGATTTTTGTCTTCTGAAATGGTACATGATTCGAACAAATCTCAGATGGGAAATTATGCCCAATGGTACTTCTGTAGCTGATGGTGCTTTGAGATTAGTTTACAGGTGACTTTTTTCTTAAGCTGTTTATTTGTATATAAAAAGCTTTTTATTTTGCAACCACACATCTTGCTTTTGTTGGATTATGCATGCAAAACTTTGTTTTAAATGTGGATTTTTTTGTTTGTCTGTTCAGGCTACCATTAATCAGCTAAGAGCTGAACTTGCCAAAGGACCTCAAGAGGTGGCTGTGTATGTTCAGGAGCTGCAAAAACTTCAAAGTTCAGTCAAAGAGCTAGAACAGAAAAACCAGGTGAGAATGCTATTCTTTCCTAAGCTTGTCAGCTCACATTAAAATGGAAACACATCACACATTGCCTTGGGAAGCACTGAAGACTAACTTCACTTCTTGATGTTGCAGAAGTTGAGAATTCCTTTGCCATTTTGCCTAACGTGAGGAATACCATAACATGCAAGCAACCACTATATTTTAGTGACCTTCATGTGCTACAACTGACATCCTTAGGGTTGTTGTGACTGCAGATTTATGCAGTTTATGCTTACATATCGTTAAGCTGTATTGCCATATCACACGTTAAAAGAAAAAAGTTGTACCCTGTGAAATACTACATTTACCTAAAAATCATAATTTGAAAGATATTTTGAGGTATCTTCTTTGGTTTTCCAGTTTCTTAGATTTTAGGCTGTACTCGTGCCATATTTTTCTGGCCATTTATCATAGTCATAAGTGGTAGAAAATGGAAATAAACTCCAGAAACTTCTTAGCTTGTAAATATTTCTTGAGAACTGTTATAAGAGCTCTTTGAGCTTGCTGCATTTTGTATTTGCATTTGTACGTCATGTATTGTGGGGTAATAAAGGAAAGGCAGGAAAGGAAACAAGACCAAAATGTATGCTGCTTTTTGTTCCATAGATACGTAACATTGTGTATGAACTACACATTGCATACGTGTATTTACCAGCAACCTCTTCAGTCTTGGAAAACAGGAAAGGACAGGGGCCAAACAGAGCGTATTTAATGTAATCTAATATTAAAGCAGTATTTGCAAAGAATATACGAAGGTGCAACTAAAATTTGGTAAATGAAACTACCTTTAGTAGGACGACTCTGCTTGGCTTACTAAATCAGGGGTGGAACTGAGATGAGAATTGTCATGCTATAATTTTCCACAGACCAGCAACAATGAATCAAGCTTTTGGCAGAATTATTGGTATACAGTATAGAGCCCTTTCCTGAATATATTGCTATTTCATTAACAATGTGGAGTAAAACAGATTGATGCATAAGATAACCACACTTTAGGAGAGAGTCCTCTGCTACGTCAGGTTGATGACAAACACCGCTCGAGGAATAGGAAGAGAAGTGGCAGTGAGCTACTTTTCCTCTTTTCAGATTCAGTGACTCGAAGCAGTTTACAGCTATCTCTTTATGCAGTTTTTTGAAAGACGGTATCCAGAAGAATGGTATACTAGCTAAGGAATCTTGGCCCTGGAGGAGTTGTACCTAGAATTGGAAAAGGTAATATTAGCTTCCAATAACAGAAATTGCTTCCACTTTGAACAGTTTGACATCCTTGAAGAAGCTGCCAGGGAGGAAGGAGGAGCCATTAATTCAGGATAGAATATATTATATTTACGATAGGTAGAATATAATATATTTTATATACATCCATTTATAATCCAGTTGCAATGCGGGAAGATATTTTTATGTGTTGACGCAGAGTTTTTCAAGCTCATGTACAACGTCAAGCAAGCAAGCTTTTTCTTATATTTTCAGGAGCTATACTGAGAAGAACAGGTGACAAGTATATAAGAGCAGTTCTCTGAAACCAGGAACTACCTTTTCTTCATTTTTAAAGCACTGTAATTATGGAGCTTGGCTTGCCTTGCAGAGGCCAGTAAGGGCCTGTAGCCTGGAAGAGGCCTAACGTATAAAACCAGCATAATCCCTGAAGTATAAGACTTGCTGTAATTCTAAACCCATTGCATGGTTGCTTTTTTGTTTGGTGATTTTTGGTTTTGGTGTGTGTTTATTTTTTATTTTTAGGATGATTGTGATGCATAATTTATGGGGAGAAACTCAGTGTTTACATAGTTTCTAACCTGTTGATGTAAATATTTTGAAATTTAGTCAGTGGTCACAGAGTTTGTTCTTTGATGCCTGACCACTCTCAGTACTAACATGTATTATGTGTAATTTTCTAAGGAACAGTTATAGCAGAAGGGATCAGTGTGGTGTTTTCCTTGTATCTTGTGAGCTTTGAAGGCTCAGGATTCTTTGTTGAGTGCTGTAATATACTGTCATTCCCTGTTTCTTTTCTGTGGAAATCAATCCTCAGGGAAGAGAGGTGGCTTGTATGTGCTTCCCTTAGCTGTAATGTACCCAGCTGTGATGAAGAAACTGTGGTGTGTTAGTATTTCAGGAACACTACTCACTACAAATGTTAATAATCCTGCCTGGTCTTTAATGAATCTCTGTAATGAAAAAGGGAATTACAGCTTTATTTTATATTCTGAGTGTTAAATATATTTTAAAAGCAGTGGAAGCCTTGCCACTGTCTTCAGTTGGATGAAGATGGATGAAATCTATGTGATTTTTATGTGCTTTATTCCTGCATTTTTATGTACGGATATATAAAAATTGTTTACCTTGCAACAAGTTTTATTTTTCAAGAAAATTTCCAAATAAACTTCTTTAGGGCTAGAATTCAATAGCCAGACTTTATTCTTGAGCCAGAATTTTTTGCTAAGTTGTATGCTTTGTAAAGTTTTTGAGTTTTTTGGTTTTTGGGTTTTTGTTTGTTTGTTTGTTTTTTCTTTTATGGCCATAGGGCAGGAATTGTATTTCTTCTCACGTAGTTTGCTGGACTGATAGAGTTGTCTCTTGCAAGATGGCTTGTTTTCTTTTTTTTTTAAATCTATTCTTTTATCATGATTGTAAAATAGAAATATCTGTATATGGTTTCTAATAATATCGTTACAATTTCTTGAAATATGTAAAGAACAAAACTGTTCCACTTACTTGAATATTTTGCACTTTTTTTTTCCTGGCAAAACAGAGTTTGTGCCTGTATACTGTGCAGAAATGTGCTTTTAAGATACCCAGGGTAGGTAGAATTGCACCACTAACTGTCTTATCATTGGAACAGTGTTATTCCACAGATGAAGAACTGTTTGAAGTTTTGATGCATAAGACTGACCTCAGTGTTGGCATTTTTTCAGGCTGACATGCTAGAAGTGTTCTCTGTTTTTCTGTATTTTAACTGAAGGAGAACTGGAAAATGTAGTAGTCACTGAAACTGCAGAAAGAACACCAGCCTTTAAAAAAGTTGTGCATAATAATGCTCCATAGAGATGGATAATAGTAAGGTACTACAATAAATGGAATCTCCTTGTACATTCCAAGAAGATGGAATGAATTATCTGTGTTGAATGACCAGGGCCACCCTGCAACTGTATTTCTTTGCTTCAGAAAGTACTGATGGAAAATCAAAATGGCTGTCATGGATTCTTTGTCTTGCTTAAAGATTTCTGAAATTCTAGTTAGTGCTTCATCTGAGCTTGGGGGAAATCCCAAACTTTCTGGAATTATGTATTGCCCATTAAGATATTTAATTTCTGCCTGAATGTTACTTTTATTAGTTCCTGAAATTTGATCAAAAACCTTATGTAGTAGCTGAAAATTATCTATAAATATTTTTCCCCCAATATTGACTTGGTGTGTAAATTTGATTCTATGACCTTAGACCCTGCAATATTTACTGTTAATGTGGTATTAAAATCTGGCACTCAGCAATGTTCATGTCTTTCCATAAGGGAATCCTGTTTTTTAGTGTTTTCACAATCAAAGCAATGATCCTCTTTGAGCTGATTTGTATACAAGGAAATTAGGTTATACAAATTAAAATGTAAAAACATAGTCTTCTAAAATGAAGGTTAAATCATGAGTGTTTCATTCTGTGGTTTATCAGTATCACAGATTTTATTAGTTTTCACAGGTTCCCTTCCATAATTTAGATAGCAGATTCATGCTGTTAATATAGTGATGGGGCAAAATTAGGACGCTTCTAAAAATGACCAGCTTGATGACTGCAAAGGATTAGACAGGAATTGAACCACAAAAGTTGGTTAGGGAATTTTGTGCAGGACAATGATACTTGAAAACTTCTTCAGTTTGCTAATAACACAAATTACTATTTCAACTTTTACCCAAGCAAACCCAGTTAACCTTAATTTGAACATTCACAGAAAGCAAATTAGTCTTCACAATACAGAAATAGATTGAGTGGTGTTCTCAATTGGAGGAAGTGAATTTATGTGAGAGTATGAAAAACAGTCTTTCCAGTTGAAACTGTGTGCTGTATGGGCTCCAGAAATAAATTGTGTAATACAAGATAGAGGTCAATATTTTATTTAATAATGTTTTTGAGCAAGTTCTTCACTGTTCAACATCGACACTTAAAAAGAAATTTGAATAATGCATTGAATAGCTGCAAGCAGAATTGTACTCGAATTGCTGTGTAACTCTCTTCTCTTCATAGAGTCTGACTGAGAAGCTGCTGAAGAAAGAACAGGACTACACCCAGCTAGAAGAAAAACACAATGAAGTATCTATGAGTAACAAGAACGTGCAGGCAAGTTTTCACCAGAAGGACCTGGACTGCCAACAGCTTCAGGCAAAGCTGTCTGCATCTGAAGCCTCGGTACAGAGATTACAGACAGAGCTAGGTGAGAAGGGGGAAGCAAGCCAAAAACTTAAAGAAGAGTTATCTGAAGTAGAGACAAAGTATCAGCATCTCAAGGCGGAATGTAAACAGCTCCAGCAGCAGAGGGAGGAAAAAGAGCAGCACGGCCTGCAACTCCAAAGTGAGCTCAGTCAGGTAATGTTCCCTAAGCCTCCTAGACCATCCTATTTGAATGATTCCTTAAACCATCCCATCAGGGCTCTTTAAACTACATGCGTATTTCTTAAGCACACACATTTGCATTTCCTTATTTTAAGGAGAACAATTAACCAGTACTTGTATTTGAATAAATATAAAGCTAGCTGGTACATTAATAAATATGAAATATTTTTTCTAACACTGCAGAAAATGATATACAATTGCCTCTTCCCTTTAGAGAAGTAAAGAAAAGAACAGGCAAAAAGAAGAGGCTGTGATAAGAGTGCAGAAATTCTTTGGTATTTGTTTGATATTGTGTCTGAATCTTTTTAGGAGGTCAAGATTCTTCTCAGGGGCAAATGAGGATAGTTGTAGCCCCCGAGTCACAGTCGAACTCGTCAAGATCCACAGTTATAATCACCTTTCAGCATTTTTTTGTCTGGGAAGGCTAATGTCATTTTTGTCTGTCTGTAGTATAATTCTCCAGAAAGGGAAATATCTTACTAATTCTGTTCTATCTAGGACTCTTCTTAAAACTATATGATTTTGGTTTTAAAGATTTTAGAGTTGAATGAGCATAAACTTTGTAGCTTATTTCTCATGTTTTGATTTGACTTTTTTTTGGTACATTAATAAGAAAAGGCTCTTCTGAGACAGGGTTTTTTGTTCACTCTTCTTTTCTTAGAGTGTTAAATGAACTCTTCTTTCATACCACAGCTTTTCCTCTCTTCTTTTTTGGTTGATGCATTCCCTGATATAAATGAAGTATTGTCAAATGAGAGAGCAGGCAGCCCAGGATATTGAGTTTGCATGACAAATATGGTAACAGACAACTTCTAAGAAGGTGGCAAGGTTAATTATTCTGATTGAGAAGGGTAGCTGAAGCAATAATGAATTAAGGTTATGAGAAAATTAAATTCAGGTACAGTAACAGTTCCACTGCTAGTAGTAATTTACTACTCTATAGGAAGTTTGAGTTTTACTAGACTGTTTTATTAGAACTGAATAGTGCTTGATTTGCTTTAAGATTGAGTAGTGACTATAGTAGGGAGTGCTTAATGTGAAAAGCTGGGATAAAGTGAAGTCTTGAGACTGCTTCCTTAGTGTGTCTCCACAAACAACTTCTCTTTATGTTGCTGATAGCTGTGAGAGCGCTCAGAGCATACATCCCACAACCAGAATCTGTTGTTCTGCTGAGTCCAATGACTTATAGAAGAAACACTTTGATATATCATTGAACATAGAACAATTGGGACCAATTGAATTCAGTTTAATCTAGTTTATCTTTTTTGGAGACTAATGTGTTAAACTGGAGAAATCCTGTCCAGTCCTGAGATGTAAAAAGTAATATCTTTTTTTTTCTTAGTATGGCATACTTCATTTTAATCTCCCTAAAGCTTATTTATTTTAAAGAGAGTGTTTCTTAATTTTCAGCCCTTTGTCAAATTGAAATATATTAGATTGCAAGCTCTGCATGTATAGTTTATCTTGGAAGAACTGTGACTTAGCAAAACTTTGTTTATGTATGAATGACATCTCCAGAATGACTATTCTTCTCCCATCAGTCTTCTGTCAGGGCGAGGGGAGATAATTATGTTAGTTATCTGTTAGGAATCTGGACTTGGTAAAACTGGCTCAGTCTGCCTAGGCAACGTGTATGAAACTTAAGAAACATAGCCAAGACTTTGAGCTTCAATCTGGCTTCAGCCTGAGAGGGTGTTTTCAGGAAGGATTTTTGGGATGGCAAAATCAAGGAGGAGGAAATTGAGTAAAACATTTCTGAATGAATTCCTTTGAAAGGACATGGAGGCATGACACGTTCTCTGGTGATACTATTGAGAAGGAAGACAGTCTTAAGCAAGAACAAGGTGCTGGACCTCAGGATGTATTTTAGAATTGTATAATAAAAGAATAGTGGAGGACAAAAAGCCCTTTGTACATGGTAAAAAATAAAAACCAAGCAGAAACATCTCTTTCTCTCTCTTCCTACAAAGAGGAGTTCAATTACTATTGTAATGAAAAGACTAAATTTCTCATATTTATTCACTTAGTACTTCAGTGGAATTATCTTTTTACGCACGTAGTCCAGTAGTTTACATTGACACAGTGAATTCTGCTTATGAAGGTATACATATAGAGTTGTTTAGTCAAACCACATTTTCAAAGAATCCTTGTCATCTTCTCAAAATTTATTTGCACAGGTGCATGTCTGGTTAAGTTTGTATATTTTTAGAATTTGTGTGACATGGAGGAAGTGATCTTCACAATGGAAGGAAACTTCAGTGATAGTGTTGGTTCCAGCACAGTAATAGGAAGAGGGTAGCACAAGAAAGTATGGACTCCTTCAGTCTTGAAGAAATGTCAATTTTTAATAAATACTGTTGTCGTTGAGAAAATTTTGATCTACTTGAGTGTATCCTTTAAGTATTTTGTTCATGATTTTTTTTTGCATTCTGTAGCATACATTAATCCTTGATTTTATGATTCTGTTTACTTAAACTCCATCTTAAAGTTCTTAAAAAATACTTAACGATACCTGTAATAAAAGTAACTTTTGTAAAATATTGTTTGCTGATTTCCCCCTTTCCAAATATTTTTTCTGATATTAACATAGCCATGAATAGTTACAACAGTTATCTTGTTTCACCCTTTCTTCAATAGATTTTTTTTTTTACCTCTAGCTCTTGTTTGTATTTGTAGTGAGGAGAAAGTATTTATAATTTAGTGATTCTTGCAAAAAAAGACAAATGTTCTTGATTACTGGAGGAGAGATTATGGTCCCTTTTCTTACCCTGTCTTTCTTCTTCTCCTACATCTTTCTTTACTGTGCAGTCACAGTTAGCAATCAGCATCTTGCCCACGAGCCAAACAGCTTTTCACTCACAGTTTTTGTGGTTGTGGGCAGCTAAATAATTTAGCTTAATTTTCTAAGAGAGTAAGTTATGGACACATTTATTTACCTGTCTCCATACCCTTTAACTTTTGCAGTGTTTGATAACTTGAGCCAGATTTTGACAGCTGACCTAAAGAATTCAGTGTTAGGCCCTTCGGTGTTAAGTTCTTGTGGAAACAGGCAGTGGGAGAGAGACTTACATTCATGCCTCACCCCCCTTAATGTGTGGGTGGAAGATACAGTGGTACCACAAACACTGTTCCTTTTTCTGCTCTCCTAGGCAGTCAGCTGGTCAGAAAGTGGTTGCTTGCAGTGATCAGTAAAATTGGGCTGCCTTTTGCTTAGATATTAGTAGGGGTTTGAGGAAAGCATGAGGAAGGTGTAGGGATATTGAAGGGAGGACCTGGAGAAGGTGACCGGTTTGAGGGGCTTAGACCTAAATTCATAGGGGAAGCAAACTTCATTCATACTTATACCTGTGGAAAATTCTTGCTGTACCTGATCCATTCTCTGGTTTTGCATTGAGTTAAAAGGTCATTTGTGTGTCCATGAATGTGTTTGTGTAGAAATAGGCAGGAGGTAACTGAGGACCTATAGTGGCAGTTTCAAGTAGAATAAGCTGATTTTATGAAGAGAGCTTTTTAGAACAGTGAATTGTAAAAGGCCACCCTTGCACTTTGAAGATGGTGCAATACTGCTTTTTGATGACTGAAAAAATTGCAAGGCAAGCTTATGTGCAGCTGGAAGAGCACGTCCCTCTACTTACTCTTTGCTGCTGGAAGTTACTGGACTATAAGCCACCAGTTACTGTGTACCCTACAATGAGGTTTTGTGTATCTCTGCTCTGCAGAGAATGAATGCCATTGATGTAGCCAGGTCAAGCTCAAAATCACAACTCTTACTCTTCTAGCAGAACAGTATATTGTGGGAGGCAGTAGAGCAGGTAAAGGCAAGGTGCTTCAGCCAGTGGATCTACAAGAAGAAGTGTGTGAGCTGGATAAGCTGAGATGGCTCTAAACATCACTATTTTACATGACAGTCCCAATGCCTTTGAAGGATGGCACTCTTTGTGTTTCTGTTAAATCTCTGTAACTCCTTTTGAAGGGCTTCTGTAGATAAATGAGGATGTTTTGGGGTCCTTCCAACCCGCTTGAGTATTTGTTCATGCTTGTGCAGCTGATGCTGTTTGTTAACATGATTTGTGTTTCTGAGGTGTATGAAGTTCATACATGACTTCAGCAGCTCTTTTTTTACTCTGAGTTATGAAAACTTCAGTGAACATGGCACAAAATGAATCTAAAATACATCACTGTTGGCTAAAGAATGATTGAAAAAGTGGATGACTCTTTTTTGCAGTTGCACAGTAAACTTCTGGAAACAGAGCGCCAGTTAGGGGAAGCACATGGGCGGCTCAAGGAGCAGAGGCAGCTGTCGAGTGAGAAACTGATGGATAAAGAGCAGCAGGTGGCTGATCTACAGTTAAAACTTTCTCGTGCTGAAGAACAGGTAAGGGTTTTTATGCAGATTCTATAGTTTATTCTTGTAGTATATCTGTACTATATAGTTGTGGTGATGTTGCAGTTTATAAAGTTTGTTCATGTGGGAGTTTCATTTGACTAATACTGTCAAAGTCTTGTGGTAAAATTATCAAAATCTGCTTAAATGTTGCTTGTCTTTACAGATTTTTGTAAGGTTAAATGCTCATCAGATGCATATGTGTTCATGGTGCTTATCAAAAGAACAAAAGTTGTGCATTTTGCACTCCTGAGCCTAAGCCCATGTGGGTAGCGCTGTGTGTAACTGTTTGTGTGTGATAAAGCCTTACATGAAGGAAAACTGAGCATGGCATTGCAGGTCATTGATAGTTAATAATCTGTGTGGAGGGGATGGGGAGAAAATACTTGATTTATTAATTTTAATTTGTTTTAATGAGTGTCTTGTATATATTGCTGATTTTCTGCTGGCTGTATGGGGATTGGCCAAATACCTGAATGGTATGTTTTCAAAGCTTTAAAGCTTTTCTGTATCTAATTTGCAAAGCCTTGACTAGTTTAGAAGTCAAGAGACTGCTAAACTGAAGTTGCTACTAAAACTGTCAATAATAGTAATAATAATGTTGTTTTACAGGTATCTATATTGCCAGTTGTGTTACATCTTAACAACTATTGGAAAAAACATACTAAAAATTTCTTATGTTTTAGATTTTATGGGAGCTAAATTACATCTGATAGTCGTTTTATAGTTCTTGCTTGTGATATAGAATCTCACCTATTAATATTTGATTAGATTTTGATTGTTTAACTAGCATTACAGATTATTTTTATACACATTTTCAAATATCCATGTTTACACTAAAATCTTCTAGAATCTTCAAGAATTTGAGAATGAACATTGAGTAATATTGGCATAGTGAATGGTGCTTTTTCCACTCATTAGTTTGGTTTGTTTGGTCTTTGATTTTGGGTTTTCTTCAGCTAAAGGAAAAAGCAGCAAATTCCACAGAATTGCAACATCAGTTAGATAAGGCAAAACAACAGCACCAGGAACAGCAGACGGTTCAGCAAAATACAACAGCAAAACTACGAGAAGCCCAGGTAACGTAATTATGTACCCTCATATGAAAGTGTATTTCAGGATTTCATTATTCTAAGTACATTTTCTCTGTAAAAGTGATTTGCATGAATTATGATAGTTTCAATAATTTAACTTATAAGTCTAGAACATAACATACAGAAAGTGTACAATAAATGTATCCATTTTATCCATTAGAACTAACCTTTAAGATCCTTATAATTAAGGAGGTTATTATGCGTTTTTCTAGAATGATCTGGAGCAAGTACTACGACAAATTGGAGATAAGGACCAAAAAATTCAAAATCTTGAGGCTTTGCTTCAAAAAAGCAAGGAAAATATCTCTCTACTAGAAAAGGAAAGAGAGGACTTATATGCAAAAATTCAAGCTGGTGAAGGAGAAACTGCTGTTCTTAACCAGCTACAAGAGAAAAACCATGCATTGCAAATACAGGTAAGAACTTCAAGATGTGTTTCTTTTCTTTCATTCTGATTATTGAGTCTTGTTTCCATTTTTTTCCTATGTCATCACATATTACACTAATCTTTTCTATACTGTTCTGTTTCTTTAATACTTACTTAAAGGTCTTACTGTGAATTTCACAGGACTTGTATTTTGGTGACTTCCTTGCTATCAGCATAGGGAAAGGAATTCCTAGATATTTACTGTGTACATATGCTAGTAATATGCTATGCATATATAGAAGTTATTGGAGATATATATATATATATACATACACATTTGTTTCACTTATTTTAAAAAGAGGTTTATTTCCTGCGTTCAACACCAAAATTCAGTTTAGCCTGCATCTGTTGTCTCCTTAGTATCTTGTTTTTGTTACAGTAAGGCCAAATTGACAATTCCCTTTTGCTTCTATTTTCATCTTGTAACCTATTTAAACTCTAATACAGCTTTACTGTAATAGTTCAGGAAAAGAAATGTGATAGTATTGAGTCTCCAGAGCCATAATAAGGCACACCACAAATAATTTTTTACTTCTTTGGACATACTGTTCCAGCTTTCTCACATTGTTTTTCACTGCAGGTAACTCATCTGACAGAGAAGCTGAAGAATCAATCGGAAAGTCATAAACAAGCCCAAGAGAATTTGCATGAACAAGTGCAGGAACAAAAGGCACATTTAAGAGCTGCTCAAGATCGTGTGCTTTCCCTAGAAACAAACATCACTGAACTAACCAGTCAGCTAAATGAAAGTAAAGAGAAAGTGTCACAACTCGATGTGCAGGTAATGGAACTCTGTTTTCTGGTGATGTAAAATCTGTACTCTCTCCAGAGAATGTACAAAGCCATTTGGGAAAAATTGCATTTTTCTACTAAGAGACAAATTAAGTAGAATAAGGCAGATAAAACTGAAGGAAAATGAAAGTGGAATCATAAAATTTCATAATTGAGTTGGGGAAAATCTTACCTCAAGCATTGCTCATATTTGTAATGTTTGGCTGTTCAAACCCCTGTTCTTACCAGTCCTGGATTCTGTGCACCAAAGTGAAAAATCTCTCAAGTCACTGAGATCTTGGAATTGCCTAAAATTTCCTATGCTGATGTCTTGTCAAAAACAAAACAAAAATTGTGGGCCACCTTGTTACCAATTAACTTTACTACGTAAGGCAACTCCCCACTATGGACTCAACATCGACTCTCCTATGACTAAATGCTGCTTAAGCTACAAGCTGCTAATTATGTTCGACTGTTTAAAGGATAAATAAGATTTGATCAGAAGTTCTTGCATCAGTGCACCTGAAGTAGCTACTGTTGTTGCTGGATTGATATACTAAGGTGTTACTCATTTTTTGAACAGACCTAGGAACTTCTGATGAAGCTCTCTGATGTTTTGATGGGCTTCATTACACTGTCTGAATTGTTTTTTCATCACATTCACATTAGAGCTAGAACTGAATTATCTATGGACAGTTGCAACTCTTTTTAAGGCAATGTGAGCTTTCTTACAGTCTACAGAGAAGTAGCATTTATATTAGGGAGAAAAACAGTGAACCACAATTGCAGGTGACCCTGAAAATTGCCACACTGCGCCAACACCATTGAAATCCACCTTCTAAATTTTGTTTGCTGGTGTTTTGAAAAGAAGAAAGGTTCCAGGCAGGCAGGAACAGAGAAAGATACTATGCACAAGAAAGCACATTTTAGTGGTTATTTATTCTTTTTCCTTTTAAAACTTCTGGGAGCCCTTGAATGTGCTTGTAGTTGGAGGTTATCAAGGTCTGCATGGGTGTGAATACAGTAAGTAAATCCCATTGTTCCTTGTTAGTGTTAAAAATATTTTCCTAGAATAGGACATGAGTGGAACTGCTGTATTTTGCTTTGTTGGTTTTTTTCTTTGTCTGTTTTTTTTGGTTTAAAGTAAGAAATCACTGTGACTTAAAATCCTGATACTTATCTAAATTTCTAAAATATTTCTTCCTTTTTTTTAACACTTAACACATGGAAGCTGATGATTTTATTATTAAACTTACTGATGACTATAAAAAATTAAAATGAGCTATGGTAAAAAGGGTGTTTTAGTCAAATACAATTTGTCTTTCAGGTAAAAGCAAAGACTGAATTGCTACTTTCAGCAGAAGCATCAAAAGCTGCTCAAAGAGCGGATCTTCAGAACCATCTGGACACAGCTCAGCATGCACTACAAGATAAGCAACAGGTTATAAGCAACATATAATATTTCTGTGTTACCTGAGAAACTGCTTAAAAAGTTAAGAATAGTCTGTTTATGAACTAAGTAAACATGTGAATATGCATTTGGAAATGATCATTTAGGATACTTTAACCACATGCTATACATTCAGTTCTGTTTGCTGTAATCCAGACCACATATATTTTGCAGTGCACAGAATTTACTTGGGAGTCTACTCCTTGATATAGTATTATGGTTCAGAACCTAAGCTGTCCTTAGGTATTATTGAGGTATTACTGAATCTCACGTGTATGAGATGAAGATTGTAGAATGCACTGAGTGTAACTGAAAACTTTTAACTCCTACTGCTGACTCAGATAAATTCCCAGTCAGATGCTGGTATTCAGAAATCATAAAATCAGATGGGTCGGAAAGGACCTCTGAGATCATCAAGTCCAACCGTAAATATTTTATTAATTATCTGTGTGCCAACTGACACAAAAACTCAAAAGGCTGTTGTTAAAATTACATGTTTTAATGTGTGTTAATCCTAGTGAAGTATTCCATCAGCTGTTGAATCAAATATTTGCATTGTTAGAATCAGTGTTGCTGTGATCTTCATGGAAACATCCAGCAGATGCTAATATAGCACCATTTTTTAGCATGGCAATGTAATTAATTGATATAAACAGAAAACAACCTTTGGAAGCCATTAAATAATTAATTAATAACTAAATATATCAGCTTGGTTGGAGAGCATGTAGCTGTTATCATAGTGCTTACTAGGTGAATATGTCCATGTCTCTTGCAGAAATTATTTGTTTTGTGTTGAACAGAATGTTTTGAAATCATCTCTGGTATGTGGAGAACTGACCATTTCCATGTTATTGGCTTTCCTCTTCAGTGGTACTTGATTTCATGACAAAGACAGCAAAAATTTTGTCTAAGGTTTTGTAATGTTATTTTCTAGTTACTGTTGTACTAACTTTAGGATCTAGTGCCTTTATTACCTACAGTTCCTCTTCCATTTACAGTTTGAAACACCTTTATTAACATTTAGCCCACAGCCTGTAAAGTTTGAGAGGAATATTGAAGCTTTAAAAGAAGTTTTTTCAGTATAACAAAGGGAATTTGTGCATGTGTTTGTTTCCTCTCTCAATTGCCTGCCCCTCAGAATAAAAAAGATTATTTTCCTTTTTAATCTGATCATTTAAAGCATATATGATGTTAGTAATATTTAGAAGTCATTTCAAAACTTACAACCCTTGTATTTTTATTTTACTCAGGAGTTAAATAAGGTCAGCGTTCAGTTGGATCAGGTTACAGCTAAGCTGAATGACAAGCAGGAATACTGTACTCAGCTGGAAGCCAATCTTAAAGACTACAAAGAAAAATGCCTTTATTTAGAACAGAAAACTGAAGAGCTAGAGGGACAGCTTAAGGTTTGTATTGAACACAGTATCTGAGCTTAGAGAAACTGATCTCTGCTGTTTGGTGGCATGTGATAAAAACTGTGTTCAAATTATGGGGAAGGATTATTTATAAGAATTTTAAGTTTTCTTGCTCACTAGTGTTTCGTGATTCACCGTTTAATCCTGTTCTCCTCTTCCATGGTAGCATATCACACTAAGAAGATAGGCCTAGGACATTGCCATTATACTGTCATTTTCTTCTATGTGTGCTTCTATCAGCCTCTGTGCTACCTGGAAATATTTATGTGAGGGAACATGAATATGTTCCAGAATTAGAGTCTTCAAGTTCAAACTAACACACTTCAAAAGTGGTAGCAGGGAATATGTGTCCCGCTGGTTAGCCCAAGTTAATACCACCTGTCTGGTTTAATTTTTTTTTCCAAAGCCTTTCATTAGTCTTCTACAGAGGCTCTTTAGCAAGATTTATTTATCACTATTTTATCTCTAACTTGATCTGGAGTTTTGCATTCTAGCTCTGAAATCAGTTTTTATTTTGTAGAACCTTTTGGTGTTTTGATATACTAGTATTTTCAGTTAAGGATATGGATTAGTCCTGATGCTTGAGAGCTTTAAAATGTGGGCTTTTGACCTTTGTTCAATATTTGTTAAAAATTCTTGGTAGTCAAAATTCACAGCACATAAAAGCATGTGATACAGGGATCTTGGGAGCAATGTAGAACTGGTTTTGCAGTGTTGTCTGTCTGTTCTGAGGGAGATTAGTAGTCTTTATGCTCAAGACCGAGTTGGGTGTTTTTCCTAGCTTATGAGCTCTGTAGGAGAGAATGAAAATTGTTTTCCCCGTAGGAAATTTCAAATCCAGTGCTATTAAAAAATAAAGCTGTCATGCATTTCATTATCAGCAAAATTACTTTGTGCATCCATCTCTCCTTTTGAATACTTGGAGTTTTTTCTGCCTATTTTCATTTGTGTTTTTCATTCTTTTGCTAAAGTTTCACAGGTAGCCAAGAGACACAAATGCTTGGAAGGAATACAGAGCTTGCTTGCATATGATTTTATTAAATCTATACCTGGTAGCTCAAGTGTGAAACTGAGCAGGGTTGTTGATGCTGTCAACAGGAATGCATTCTATGTAAATTCTTGGCATCATCACCATTCTTTGAGATTATTCCAGTTGAATGTGTGGCATTTAAAAAAGTAGAAAAAAATTAGAAAGCAAAAAGCCCTCAGGAATTTTCTTGGAGAAACTTGGCCATTTTGTTTTATGGCCACTGTATTCAAGCATAAGTGACTGCAAAACACCCAGTGTGTTGAAGAGTCTAAGCAATGCCCATTTGCTGAAGGCTCCTGTGTTATTTATACTCCACACAAGTGACCAAGAACCTTTGGGAAAAAAAACACAAGAAAAACCTCTTCTGGGTGAGCATAGGGTTTCTTCACAGCTGTAGTTTGTGTCTCTGTTTTTGGTATGAAGAACAGCAGAGTCATGATACGTAAATCAGCAGTCATTTGAAACTGCTGAAACTGGTCAGTAGTGGCTGAGAACATGGCCCCAGAGCTGAGCACTGGGTATGGCCTTTTTTTGTAGATAGACTCTTTAAAGATTACAGCTTATTATCTATTACTTTGTGGTAAAATGCTTGTTTGACCTTTAATTTAAACATGATTTCAGAATGTTTTACCAAAATAGTTCAGTTCTGGAGGAGCAAGAGATTTTCAGGAACTAAATAATGGAAGACAAGTAGCAAAGTAATGAAACAGGTAGATGATACGTGAGAATTTTGACTGCTTTCTAAAGTAAAGACTTTTTACAGTAAATGCTGCTCATAGAATAGATGACTTGTGCATTTAATTGCTATGTTTATTTTGTTGGTTGTGTTCTGATGGCTCTAACTTTTAATTTTTTTTTTTCCTCAGAAACTTGAAGCTGACATTCTTGATGCTAAAGCAAGTAAAGAACAAGCTCTTCAGGAGTTACAGCAACAGCGACAGCAATCTACGGAATTAGACCTCCGAACAGCAGAACTGAGTAAACAACTTGAATCGGCAAGAGAAGCGTATGCATTTCCTTGTTCTCATCCTTTTCAAAGTCAAACATAAAACTGGAGTGGTTTGGACTAGAGTTGAAATTTTCTGCTTCTCTCCCGTGATTTCATGAAGTTGTAGATAAGTGCTGTTCTGCTACAAGAACTGAGTTTTACCCCACCTGTTTTCTTTCACTTCATCTGCTCTGTTACCTCTGTGATTCACTACAGCTCTTCAGTTTATTCACTGTGCTTGTTGTCAGCTAAATATCTGAACAGTTTCATGTAGTGAGGTCCATCTTTAGATATTCATAGCTCTGTAACATTTTTCAAGTACAAATTTGCAGTTTCTGCATAAGCAGCAAAGGGCTAGTTTCTGTTCATTATAGCTGGGGAAGAAAGATTCATCTAAAAGCTAGTTTTTAGAGTTGCTGTCATGTCTTCACTGGAGAGACACAATGTCTATGGATGAAAAAGGTTGTACAGTTAATATGTTAAGTAATAGAGATATTTAATGATACCAAAAAAACCATGAAGAAGAAATTAAAAAAATATGTTTTTTCTCTTTCTATTTGCAGAATGTCTAATGCTAAATTGGATTTGCAGAAGAAATCTGAGGCCCTTGACCAAGCAAACCAGCAAATTTCAAAGCAGGAGGAGGAGAAGGCCAGTCTCAAAGAAAACCTTGAGAAATCAAATCAAGATACAAGTAAACAGCTTAAGGAGTTAGACTGTAAACTGCAAGCAGCCACATCAGAGCTGCAACAAGTGAAATTAGAGAAGGATACTCTGTTAAAGGACCTTACAGATACCAAAGATAAGCTCTCAAAAAGTTCTGAATCCTTCAAGAAAAGAAAGGAGGAATTAGAAAAAGAAATTAAAAAAGGAAAAGTAGCTATGGCAGAAATGGTTAGTAGATTCTTTATTTAGGCATTAAGTTTGGTGTATTTATAGTCTGATAAAATGATTTTGCTTTCTATTTGAAAACAGTGTAGATATGACAATGCATGGAAACTACTGTAAGAAAAAACAAATTGTGGTTTTTAGTAGTTCATATGCATTTCCTGCCTTACATTTTTGTCTGGATGTTTATGGTAGTGAAGATCAGTCATAGCACATAACGGGATCCTTTTTTCCTACTACATGCCTTTAACATAGTGAAGAAACTAAATGGAGGCAAGTGGTGAAACAATTTGATGGGAAATGTCCTCCTTTTAAAAAATATATCAGCTGTGTTATAATAACACAAAGTTATAGTAGAACCTTTGCTAAAATACCACTGTATTGAAGAAGATGTTATTTTTCTGAGGCTGTTTTAGTTTCCTTTCTGAAGTCTTTGTATATAGAACTTCCTGTGCATTTGTCTGGACATGCTGGAAAGCTGCATACTGCAGGCAGAGAGAGTAACATCATCTGAATGCCTAGATTAAGGTATTTTCAGAGTACTAGAACTATTTGAGTTTCAGAAAGCTCTCACAAGTGGTGGTACAACAGGTGCTTGACCACTAGGGCAACCTATTATGATAAAGAAAGTGAACTCTCACTAGCTCTAAAATATACCTCTTCTGCCTTGTTGGTAATATGAATGGGCACTACATGAATACATGCATGTTCCAACACCGTTGCCTTAAACATGGTAAAGGTGTCTTTCTCATCTTAAATGTGACCCTTCTCATCTTAAATGTGACCATTTCCCAGAATCTGTTCAGAGCTACTTTTATTCTTACCTAAAAAAAAATCTGCTCCTAGTTAAAAGTAGCATTTTTTTTTTTACTTATTCACCTTTTAAAGATAAGCTCTTTTGTTTGCTTTTCTTAGTTACTGCTGTTTAAATATTTGTTTCTCCTAAAAACTCAAAGAGTTTTCTCCCCAGCTGAGACTTAAAGTTAGGAGTCCAGATTCTGCTTCTAATTCTGTAGTCCCTTGAAGTCTTACCACTGTTTTATATGTGTAATATTCGGGCTTAACATGTAGTTGTATTTGCATGCAAGTTTTGGAAATGAACTTTCTTGTGAGTTTTGGAACATGAAGGAATTTTGGATCCTGAGGAGAGTGATGACCCTACTGCTTTCCCTAAGAAGGAGAAGGGCTGCCAACCACAGCTTCAAATAGGGAGACTATCCCTAATCAGAAAAACTTTTTGGCACGTGGCTGGGTTTGGTCGTATAGGGGATCAGCTGTTTTCAGCTTAGATTTGCTACTTAAGGTTTTGAGAAATTTTTAATTGATAATATATCTGCAGCTGAGAAGGAAAAATTTTCCACTGAAAATGAAAGCACTGTTTTTTGAGACTCTGTAGATCCTGCAAAAATACTTGGTAGTTGGTCTTAAAAGCTAACAGGAATATTTCCTTGTCTTATATTTTTTAGGAAAAATCTTGCCAAGAATTAAAACACCAGCTCCAGACACAAACAGAGTCTGTAGCTAAAGAGAGGAATGAATTGAAAAACTCGCTGGAAAAAAAGGAGGGGGTAAGCTCTCCACTTAGTTTCAGAAATCTACAAACCAGTATCATAAATGTTTAAAAGATGCATTTTCAGTTTCACATGCTGGGATTGACGAGAACTAAAGAGGCTTCAGTTCTCAAATTGTAACCTACTTGGGGTGTTGAAATAAGGTGATAGTAAAAACTTTGTAGATAGTAATATAAAGCTTTAAAATACAGGTTTTAGTCTTAGTTTTCTGTGCCCCACATACCTTAGCGGGGGATTTTAGCTCTTAAGGTTTTTTCATTAGTGAAACAGTTACTTGATACTACCATGTCACCATTTTTTGATTTTACTTCCATACAATAAAAGTTGTTATCTCATATCCTTAGATCTATTTTATTCTCAGGCTTATTCAGTACATTCTCTGTGTGATTGACAGGACATTTTCAGGTGTCCTTCAAGAATTGAATTGCTTTTTCAAACTTGTGTAAGTCACTTGCTTGTGACTTCATAAGAACCAAATGTACTTCTTTTTTGAAGACGAGCATTCAGACTGCAAAATCATGCAGTCCAGCTGGCAGCCTGAAAGACAAGTCTGCTTTCATGGGTATCTTTACCCAAGCTGTCATCTGTTCCCTAAAGAAATCAGAAAAGATATGATCAGTGGACATAGTTTGGTGGACTGTGATGGACTCTTACTGTCTGAAAGAGGGTTTGGGTGTGTGCTGGTGTAATTGCTCAGTGACTACTGCTCCTACTCCCCTGGCTCCTCTCTGGTTCATCAGAAGCACCATGGTGCTCTGTGTAAATGCAGGAGGATGACTGGTATATGCTGCACACTTGGCAGCAGGAGAACCCAAAACACTACTGGTGTGAGAAAAGTTTCCTCTCTTAATTTAGAGTGGTTAAAAAAGACTGCTGTTGATTTATGAGTTATAAATCGGGAATAATAGATTCTTTTAATGTGTTATGGTAGTTCTTAAAGCCTTCTTGCCAGTGTTCAACTGTGTATCTCTTAAGCAGCCATGGCACTGTGGGATGGTCTGGTTCAATGTACGGCATGTACAAATAGTGATGTAAATTAGAATTATATACAGTTATTTAATATTTTTTGACTCTAGATTTCTAAGCAGTTGTCAATAGACCTTGATTCAGCACGAGCACAACTACTGGAAATCCAGGGTCTTCTGAAGGACAAAGAAAAAAGTGAGCAACATCTTCAGGGAAAGCTGAGAGAGTTAAAGGAATCTTTTGAGCAGAAGAAAAAACATAGTGAGACATTGCAAGCTGAATTAAAAACTGCCCTTTTAGAAAAGGTAAGACCATCCTCTCTTATTGCTATGAGAAAGTGATTGTAAATTCCTCTGATAAATACTGAAGTTTGTATGTCAATATCTTTGTGATAAACTGTGTTTGCGGTAGTCTTGTTGGAAATGATAAGGTCAGAATGTGGAAATGAGGTCTTCAGGTGCTGTTGGAGATAGAAACAGCAACATCAACAGCAGTAATAAAAAGAAGCGGTGCTGAAATATGAATTCCATAGGAACTGAATTTTAATAAATTGATAAAATTAGTTAGATTGAATGTGGGTTTTTTGCTCTGGGAGCAGGCTATGAGGTGAGAACTGTCATTTTCTTGTAAAACATTAGAATTTTGTGAGAGTATTTTAGACAAACTCTGCAGTGTTTTAAAACGTCCATGGCAGTTTAAACCAAGTCTTCTCTTATTATACCAGAAGAATTTATCTTGCTGACAGTATGAAACTCATGAACCACGGTGGAAAGAGTTCAAATGTCTTACCACATTAGGGAACATTGTGCTGTATGCCACACACTGTTAAATGTGGCTCCAGCTTTGGCTGCCCTATGCTACGGTCATATTTGTGCTTTAGACAACCTGTGGAAATATTAGGTCTTGGTGTTGTGGTTTGACACCAGCCATCACCTAAGCGCCACAGAGCTGCTTGGTGACTCGGGAAGATAAATGTCATCACTCCAAACTCCCTCCCCTTCCTTCTTCTTTTGCCATCTTCCTATGCTGACTCCATATGGTATGGAGTATCCCTTTGGTCAGTGGGATCATCTGTCCTGCTGTGTCCCCTCCCAATTCCTTGTGCACCTCCAGACTCTTTGCTGAGAAGCAGGAAAGGCTGTGTTATCAACAGCAGCACAAATCCAAAACACAGCGTCATACTAACTGCTATGAAGAAAATTAACTCTACCTCAACCAAAACCAACACACTTGGAACATTATTCCAATTTTTAATGTTAGGTCTTAATGTGTTTCACTTAAGCTTTTGTCACAAATTAAATTTTGTTGTTAAATTAGTTAGGAGATATTACTGCAGAATCACAAATATCAGATTACCAAAGTGCTGTTTCATAAGAGGAAAAAAATTCTCATCTTGCAGTAGAAATGCAATTTATTGAAATGTTTAAGCTGACTTTACTGTCTGTAACTTTAACTAAAACTTCCTATGCTTATGTTTCAGGCAGAACTGGAGAATAAACTGCAACAGCAGTCTATTTTGTCAGCACAGGAGCTTAAAGCAGAGAAAGGCAAGCTAGCAGACTTACAGAAGGCCCATGATAAACATAAAGAAAACATGGAGAAGCTGCAGTTGGATCTTTATGGGAAAGAGTCTGAGCTGCTGGCTACCAGACAAGACCTTAAGGTACTTGCAGTCATTTTAATGTGATATGTGACTTAGTAGATGTTTGTATCAATTTTGAAGACCAAGAAACAATGCAGGAATTGAATAGATGAAAAAAATCTCTTCTGCTATATATAGATTTTAGTGCTGTTCGTTCCCTTCCCCTGGGATAGAGAATATCCTGAAACTAATTGAAAGCTAGTTTACCTGAAATATCCTTCCATTTGTGCAAGGTGATTTAGTTTTATATACCTTTAAGAATTATTTTTTCATATTGCTTGTTCTTGTTATATATTGTTGCTTTCAACTCATTTAAACAGTGTAGCTAATTAGAGCAAGGTCTGCCATCATGTGAATAACTGCTATCTTCTAGATGATTTAACTAGAATAGTCCTGGCTGATTATAGATGTTGAGAAATGTCAAACTAATACAAACAGTAGTTTAGAGACCTGCCTGGAATGCAAGTGTCTGAACTTAGTCCTTGAAGTTTTGCTATTCCTAAACTGAAGTTACCTCATTTTGTTAGTGTGCAGTGCCTTCCAAGAGGTATTGTTGAGAGTTGAGCCAGTCAGCAAAGGTGTTTTTAGACTATTTTTTCTGGCCCTCTCCTTCATGTTAGTATTAAGCCAATGCTCCAGTTAGTCCCAGGACGTACTGTGCTGCAGAGACTGGCTGTCTGCTGGCAAGATTCGTAGCTTTGGCACTTTTCACTTCAGATGAATCCCACTGCAGCTTTGTCCATGAACAACACTGTTGTTCTAGGCTCTTCTGAAGTTTATGGAGAGAAATAGATGCTTTGGAAGGTCAGATCATCTGATCTGCTTTAGATGTCAGCTTCTGTTTGCTTTGTTATGTATAAAGGGAGCTTGTGGTGACTGCTTAGATTTCATTGTTGCCTGCTTTGATTTTATTGTTCCCTTTCCCTCAGAGGTGAACCTTTCAGACCCACGACTGAAACCCTTTAAGGTCTTGTGGCTGTTTTCCCCATGTAAGCTGTGGAGCCCTAGCTGAACTCCAGGCTTGGGTTATTTTAAGAAAAAGATAAATAGCTCCTTTACATATAGGCCATTGCAATTTTATTAGGCTTACTGTAGTAAGTCTGATAATCTTACTGTAGTATTAGGTTACCTGCCACATTTCCCTGCAGGTTATAGAAGCTTTATTTTCAGAACAGCATGGTTCAATTGCAGTGTTAAATTGTGAAGAACTTCGGCATGATTAACAAGCAATGGTGGTTTAAACATAGTCTTCCTTTTGCTTTGTTACTATAGCACATGTATGTCTGTGAGTTTATTTCCTGCAATGCATTTAAAGCAACATTTAGTAATGCAGTGACCTGTAGAAGCATTGGATGTACTCAGTAACTAGGGGGTTTTTGCCGGGGTTTTTTTTTGGGGGGGGGTATAGTTTTCATTAAATTATTGCAAAACAGTGGTGCAGAAATAGCTCTGAATAAGTATTATTATAGCAGCTTCATAACCTCTAATTCTGGCAAGTATAAAATAGGACAGTAAGAATCCCACATGCTTTTAAACCTGATGGGGATGGTAGCAAGAAAGAGAGATAATATCTTTGCGAAAAGGTAAAATAAGGTGATGGCAATGGGGAAACAAGATTTTTAAGATGAGCAGTCAGGTAACTTGATTTATTATATAAGTCTCTGTGGAGCCTAGAGATTTGGGTCCTAATTACTGAAGTGCTGTGCTAACTTGGAGGCTGTTTGCTTGATTTTAAAAGTGTTTCAAAAGCCATATGTTAATGAGGATTTGTGATGTCTGACTGCCAGCACTTTTTTTCCTGGAAAATGTAGAAGGAAAAGGTGGGAATTTGATCTTTAGTCATGGCTGTGCTGCCTCACTGCAATATTAAGCTAAAGAAGCAGTGATAACTTGTCTTAGAAGACCACAAAGGAAAAAGCACATTCAGGCAGCCCTAGTGTGACAGTGTTAGTCTTCATTGCTGACATAAGTCAGAAGAACTTTATGGCAGAGTTTCACAGTACTATTCAAACTGAGTTGTCTGCATGATGTTTTGTCTTTGTCAAGTTACTTCGTAAAAGTAGCTCATTGGAGCCACAGCTGGGTATTTTGATTAAAGTTTGGAATCGAAGCTGATGGGTGGACTGGGCTTAGGTTGGTTTTAATCTCAGTAGGCAGTAGCAGAAGTTTTTAAAACTAGTCGCTAAGTGGAGTCAACTTGGGTGTCTTTCAGTGCAGGATTTTTAGCAGAGCTACAAACTCCCTGCACAGCTGAGTTGGGTCAGCACAGTCCAAAGCCCACCATCGTCCACAACAGACACATCCAGGCCGTATCGTGAGATCCTAGCAATGCTATGTTTTGTTTAGTTAAAAATACTGAAAAGGAAAATTTAAATATACTCACGCGGTGTAGCACCATGCTGTTGGAGAGGCCAAGGTTGCAGGCGTGGGTATGGATTATGAAAAGTTGTAAAGCATGTGTGTGACAGGGGTAGGGTGGTCTGGTTCCTGGGAGGGCATGGCAGGAGTTGAGCTGTACACAGAGCACCATCTGCTGGTTTCTGTTGGGAATATCACTGCTGGGATCGGTGACTCGTCTCCACCGGCTGGGAGACGGAAGCGAGATTGCAAAGGGAGCAAATGCTTCGGGGAAGTTTTGCAGTTGGAGATACAGCTTTGCATGAGAGAGAGATGCAGAGTGGGCAGCTGCTCTCTGGAGTGCCATCAGCGCGGCGGAGCCCGAGCTTCTGTCTCCATAACAGAACATCTGAGCTACGTAGCTGTAGCCAGATGCAAACTTTGAAGCTTTCAGTCCTTCAGAGGGAACAGGGGAAGTGTTGTAACAAAATCAGAAGTGGGAATGTAGGTATACATATTATGTATGTATATTTTATGGATACTATTTGCTGTAGATTTACTTTGGTTTAAAAATGTACTTTCTCTAACAGTAACTACACAAACATTTTTTGTCTTTGTGACTGGAAAAAGAAATTGGGTGGGATTTGAGTGCTAGTAAAAGGTGGAGCTTTCAATAAAAAAGGACAGGTATAACTAAAAAAGTGTATCACTAAATGAATTTTTATATAGACATATTTATGAAAATATATATGTGTATATAGACACATTAAATATTTTTTAATGAAAAATGCATTTTTTATATAGAAATGTTAATCAAAATGTGGTAACTGTTATTTTTGCCTTGATTTTGAGTCAGTACAAGGATACTTTCTGTGAATCTGATCTCCTGAGCTTTGCCAAGTATCCTTGAGTCTTGGCTTTTGTGCTTTTTGTAGTCAGACCTGATTTCTTCTGTGTTCTCAAAAGAATGTGTCTTTGTCTCCAGTATTGGCATTGCTGTCAGCGTATATTTAGTGAATCTTCTGGAACAAAATTCATGCTGCCAAACCTCGGGTCTGTAAGTCAGGAGCCTAAGTTGCATACAGCCAAACTCTTTTTCTTAGGAAGTGAAGAGAGATCGGGTTAGCATCTGTGAATAATTTAATGTCTGTCCTTGTGAACTGGGATCAGGGAGCACGCCAACTCAAATACTTATTTGTGCACTTCATATAGGTGGACTCTGGGTCCTTCCACCCCACTAGAATCAATTCTGATGTTGCCACTATGATTTGCACTGTCACAGCCCAAGTTATAGTGAATCAGACTGTGATATTTCCTTATATTTTTATTTATTTCAATTCTGTGCCAATCAACCTAGCATTTTTATTTATTTACAAAAACAAGTACTAATTGGTCTCTTTTGTTCTGTGTCTATTCCTTGTCTCAGCCTAGGTATAGACATAATGAGATAACCTGTACAGTGTAGACACTTTGCAGGAATGGGTTGAAAGAAAAATACTCCCTATGTGAGGCTTTTAATTTGAGTGTCACTATCCACTTCATCAGATTTCATCATCTGGTGCTAGCAAATTGGATGTAACCACATTTCTTCTGCTGGAAACAAATTTGAATAAAAGCTATGTCTTTATTATGTTTCTTTCTAAAACTGCAGAGACTGATGGGTTTTCCTGTGAAGATGTTATATGATGATGCTAGACTTCCTATCGTTTCTCAATGTTAGGAAAATGTGGTATTCCACTGCCCACAGTGGAGGAAAGAGGGGTAATTTTGCTTTATGAAAGACCTATCCTGGTGAAATCTTGAAACTGCAAATGCACCTCCTGTTTTGCTTACAAAAAATTCTGAGTCAACACCTTGCAAAATATTAGGTAGTAAACTGTAATAGCTCAGAAAGAAATTAATTTGTCTGCAAATTAATTTTAAAAGCCAGTGTGAGCTTTTTAAGAGCCATGGGGGTTGTTGAAAGCGATGTTGAATCAGCAGTGTTCCATCATTGCTGTTTCAAGCTAAGTCTGACTGTACAGGCAAAATACTTTAGATATTACAAGGGAGGGTCATGAGACATCAGAAATCAATTAGTTTTTAAATCAACATAGGAGTGGCTAAAGCATATGCATAATTGAATGAATTCTGAGTTATGCTTATAGTTCCTATTAAAATCACTAACCTTCAACAAAAGGTTAAATAAGACAACAAGATTTAAATAAGAGCTCTGAAAAGAACTGTGTTTGTCTTGAAAGAATTTAAATCCTTACTGCTGCACTGAAAACAATAAATTTATTACTAATAATAAATCTCCTCAGCTCATATTCTGTATCTTAGTGTCAAAAATTTCCACAAAATATCAATATTTTGAGGAGTGGAGGATGAGTTTGTTTGTTGGATTTTTCTTTCATTGGTTCTATAGGAAGGAAAACTCTACTAATTGGAGCTAGTCCTTACCTAAGATAGAAGGTTTAAAAAAATAAGCTCCGCAATACTAACTCAAGAAGAACCTCAAAACTTGACTTTGCTGAGAAGAAATAGAATGGGCTTTGGCTTTGGGTGCAAGTTTTAGGTTGTTTCTTGGGATTTTGTGACCTATTTCAGACTTTTTCTAAGTAATGGAGAGATCTGAAGGCAAATGAAGATATAATCTGTAGATTTTGAATGGAAGTTTAAATTTCATGCTTAAAATGCTGGTACAGCTGAAACTGTGAAGCCTTTTTTCCTGACATTAGTATTTTTACATTTCATTTCAGGTTTTTCAAAAATTTTACTGTTGTCCTAACACTTTATGAAGTCATTGGTAAAAAAAACCAGTGAATTACTTTTGAAATTTTCACTCTGTAGCTTCACTGCTTCTTAAGTTAACAACTGTCTAGGGTTATAGAACAGCTGATTTTCCTAGATAATAAATAAAATCTGTATGAGCAAATTCGAGTTCACTCTCTTTTTATCAGTCCCCTTTTGTTCTCTGCCCTTCTGCATGTTTTCACCTTTTCTCTGTGGAACGGCTAGGTTCAGTAAGGCATTGCTCCTGGAAATGATGCTGGGATAATTTCTTTTTACTGAGGGTAATCTTGTAAACTAGAAGTTTCTGTAATCGTGCTTTGTCAACATTTGAAGCTAAATCTTGCACTCTAGATAACATTTTTTCCACCTGGAAAATGTTTAAGTGGCTGTTCAGTATCTGAAGCTCTTACACTGACAGATAATTTGCAGAACTCTCTTTGTAATTAGTCCACAGAAGAAAAACTTGCTCTAGCTCAAGAAGAATTAGTTTCCAGCAGAAATCGAATTGCTAGCAGTAATCAGCAGATTCAGGAACTGAAGAAAGCAAAGTCTGCACTGGAGCAGGATGCATCAAAGAAGGAGCAGCAGCTGGGTGAGAAGACCAAAATGTTGCAGGATCTTCAGAATGACAGGGTAAATGCCTCTGTCTTTTGAAATCTTCACACAGACACATCCATTCCATGCAGACACCCTTTACTATTTTCTATTACGTCTTTGATTTGAGAGCATAACACTGTTGTACTGAATAACACTGATGGTTTTACTCGACCTCTGGTGGAAAGACTTTTAAGAGACAGTAGTGAAATTTATTCAAAATAGGCTGCTAATTTGTTCTAAGCGGTCAGACAGGTGGGAAAATATTATTAGTTCTAAATCTAAACCTGCAAATATGCTGCTAGTTGTACTACAAACTGTGGATAGATTTTTGGGAGTTGTTTCCCTATAATAAAAGAGCCCCCAACTAGGTTTTGGGCCCTGGATATTTTTTGATTGTTTGTTTGTTTTTATTTTGTGAACTTGGAAGAAGTAACTTTTCTACCCTTTTTTGTTTGTCTTCAAGACTTTGAAAGAAAAAGACTTGGCTAATGAAAAATGTAAAACAACAGAGCTCCAGGAAATAAGGAGTAGACTTGAGAAAGAAATTGCCAAGCTGGGTGAAGAGCTTAGAGCCTGCAAGCAAGAATTTCAGAAGGTACATTGAAACAAACTGAGTCTTCTTCATGTGTTTGGTTATCTGATGAGAAATATGTGCCTATTCAGTAGATGTTATCTGGAATGGCTTTGCAAAGATGGTTGCTGTAAATATCAGTATTTCAGGTAAGGGAACCAAAGCAGAGATTTCATTGAGGTTCCTCAGCAATGATGTCTTGATTAGTGATAACCCTTGAGCACCGGTGCCCAGTGGGCCAGGTGGAGCACATAACTTGTCTTAGCTTCAGGATGGGTTTTATGTCCTGGCTTTTCTTCAGTTCCACTATAAATCAACTCTACATACCCTTCCTTGGCTATTCTGAAATGAAAAAAAAAATGTCCAAAAGAGTCATGACTGTGAAGTTTTCCAGATATTCTAGGCACATCTGGTACTTCTCAAGGATGTGTGGTAGAGTTGAAACTCCCCTAATGTGCTGTGGTTTCATAAAATGTCTTAAAAAGTCACCGTTGGGGAAGAAATAATATCGGGAGCCTCACAAAAGACAAATTCTTCCAAAATCATAACAATCAAATGAGTTCTCGAAAGGGTAGAAGTTGGGTGGCTTTAATTAAATAATTTTTAGTCTTCAGTAAAATAAATTGTTTCTTGCCACAGCCTGCATGTTCCATTTTTTAGTCTCTATAGAAACAAACACTCCTAAAAGGCTCTAGTTTGTGTTTTTCATAATATAGTATTAGTAGTTATATTTGCATCTGTTAAGTACACAGAGTTTAAGTTGCTGCAGAATGATAAATCTAGGTATATTCCCTATGCACTAATAAAAAGAAAATACCATAATAACTTGTGAGTTTCAGATATTCTTTTGTTCTCCGTTGTTTAGAAAATGGTCTCTTACTTTTAGATAGTTTGTACTTTGTTTCTCTCAAATGATCTGTGCTTAGGGAAAAGTATTCTAGGTCTTGTCATTCCTAAAATCTCTATTCTAAAGAAGAAATTTTATAAAGATGTATATAAAACGTGTGCACACCAATGACAGCTTAGTAATAATTTCTTAATCTCCCTACAAGCAATCAGAGTGAACAGTAATTATCTCCTAAAGACTTATATTCTGTTTCCCATCTCCTACCAAGGAATGAATGGATGTATATTTATCTGTATCTGTAGGGCATCCCCTTGTTCTGGGGATATGTTTTCTCTGGCTTTGATTTGGTTTTAATTTGTGTTGTGAATTTTGATTTATGGAAAACTGTCCACCCTTGTTAGTCTGTTACTACCTACATGCTTGGCTATGTAATTTTAAGGAAAACAATTTCTATAAATTGAACTAACTATTCTGCTTCAGGATTTTTTGTGTTTAGTTACAGAGGAACAAGTAAAAACATTATTTAAAACCAAGCATGTCATCCTGCTTGCTGGAAACAGAGAGTAATTTTTTATGCATTTAAGATTGACAGAAGCAACTTTCTTCCATCAGCATTTGGTTTATGATTGTTTTTAAGCATTATGATTGCTTATAAGCATTATGATATTTTTAACCTCATTATTACAACCAGAGAACAACGTGAAGTAAATTACAGAACAGTCCCTAGAAAATTAAAATGGATGCATCTTTTCAAAGAACTGTTGAAAACAATTCAACAGATCTTCCTCTATACTTTAGTAGAAACATGCATTAAAATTATTTTTAAAAAAGAATGTTGATCCTAATATAGGTATAAGTTTAAAATCTTTGATCATAAAAATCACTGATACTTTGTTATATAAAATCATCCTTTCTTCCAATGATAAAACTAAAAATTATTGCTGTCGTCTCCTAGGAAACTTTTACAGTAGTTTTGAATTTAATTCCATTTATACTTTCAGTGTTCCTACTTTAACATTAAACTCTGTATCTTAACAGGAAGTGACAAACCTCAAGGATGCAAACCAGCTATTGATTCAACAGAAATTAGAACTTCAGGGCAAAATAGATAGTATGAATTCAACTTTGGAACAGGAGAAAAAAAACCAACAAACTGTTAAAGATCAGCTGAAAAAGAGAGAAGAGGAGCTAAAGAAAGAATGTGCTGAAATGGAAGCCAAACTGGTTAGTATGTCAGAGAATATAAGACTGTTGTTTTGTGAGCATGCCTTTGGATTCTTCCAGGGACAGAAATGAAGCAATGGGTTGACTTTCGTTTCACGTTACATTAATTTTTGAATGACAAGATCAAAAATCTTTAAGGCATTTATAATGGTGTAGGAAACCTCAGTGAGATGACAACCTTGTAGCGTTTGTTGAATAAAACTAGTGATTCTGTTACAAGAAGATTTTTTGCCTCAATTAAATGTAGGGAATAGGGCAAGAATGCTTGAAAGCTTGTTTTTAATTTTTCTGCTGCTTTTGTAGCACACAGAGAAAAAAGACAAAGAAGAAGAAAAACGGAAACATGAGGAAAAGGAGACCAAGCTTACCATGCAGGTCACAGCCCTGAATGAAAACCTGGCTACCATGAAGAAAGAGTGGCAAAGCAGTCAGAGGCGAGTGAGCGAGCTGGAGAAACAGACGGACGATTTACGTGGGGACATTGCTGTCTTGGAAGCAACAGTGCAGAATAATCAGGATGAGAGAAGAGCATTGCTGGAGAGGTAAGCTGTGGTCATGATGATGTGGCAGCGTAGTTTGTGAAATGGATAGCCTCACACTGAAAACTTGTTTCACTTGATTCAGGATTCTCTATGCATGCTTTATTTAAACCCGTGTTTGTTCTTAGTGCCTGCGCTGTGGGTGCCAAAGCACAGCAAGGGGTCTTGGCAACAAACACTCTTTGTGGGCATCCTGTCAAAGGGTTCTGCAGAAAACAAGGCAGGTTATTGGGATCTTGCTTATCACCAAAGCCACAGCACTGTGCTTGTGCTCAAAGATTTATGCCCATCTGTAAGAGCCTTCTAAATCCATTGGGCTCCTCTTAGTTTTTAGGTATGTAGGTTGGAGCTTGTCATCTGATCTGTTGTGTGAACCTTGCGATGCATGGCGGAGAGAACTTCTCTTACCTGAGCTGAGTATCCTTCTCCGTTACTCTGAGGCTCCCATGCCTTGAGTCAATTAGAATAGATGCACTAGTCATCCAGAAGCCTGGAGGAGACTCCTTAATACCTTCAGTAATAGAATTGCATAGGAACTTCTAGGTGTGCCCACTACTCAATGTTAGGAGACTGAATGTGGATTACATACGCTAAGGTTCACAAAGAAGGCATTTTCTTCCTCCTGAAAACCTACCGTCTTATTTTCTTCAGTTCTGCTCTTGTCTCTACAGTATATTTAAATCTTCAGGAAGCAGGAGGCATGAAAGGTAGTAGGAGTTACCTGAATGCAATGATTACCAGGGTAGAAGAAACACTTGTGAGACAGGAAACTTTTTTCATCCTTATTTCCTGACATGTTTGATGAAGTCAGGGTGGAAAACTTTTATCACTACTGTCAAGCTTGCTGATTTGTTTTTTGAGCAGAGACCTTGGGAAAGGGTGGGATCAATTCAAGTGAGATCCTCTTTCTTTGGCAATCCTTTGCTGTACTGTGCTGAACTCATCTCGTAGCCATTTACAGCTTGGCAGAAAAATACCCTTTGACATTTGGCTTTCAACAGTTAACTGAATTTCAGCTGATGGGAGGCAGTTTCTTTTCTGCTCTGTTGTCTGACCTGATCTGCAGCAGGTGGTTTGTAAGAGTGTCCGGTTGCACAGGAATATTTATCGGGACTTGCTGTTGATGGACTGCATTCAGCATTGTCCCTTTTTTGGTTTTTGGAATAACTCCAGGTATTAATGAGATGCAGATACTTAGGAGCAATGCCAGATAATCTTAAACTGATTGTTACAACAGAACATTTTTCTAGCCAAGGCATCCAAGAACTTTTCACAGCAAGGATTTTTTTGGCTGGATTTGATGGGAGTGAATTCTCAGACATGATAACCTGCCCAAAGGAGGCAGTGTAAATAGCCTTATATGCTTTGCACTGACTACTTCCTGTTTTTCCGCAGGTGTATAAAAAGTGAGGGAGAAATTGAAAAGCTTCAAGCCAAACTCGTAGAAATGAAGAAAAAGCTGGACAACACAACTGCTGCAATGCAGGAACTTGGCCGAGAAAACCAGTCATTACAGGTATAATTTGATTTGTAGCTATTAAACCTTTTCATTCTCTGTTTGGGAACTTATGAGAATTTCAAATTTGTGTCAGATTGGTGGTGAGTTACATTTCTAGAGTGAATTAAGATGTTATGTTTGTAGTGTATGAGGGCCGTACTGCTGTCTGTGGGTTCTTAAATCTGCTTATAGTTCTGAAAATTTGGTTTTCTTTCTGAACGAATATAAGCTCTCAGTATCATGACCGAATTGGTGCTTTTACACTGCAGTGGGTAGTGCATGCTGTGGAAATAGAGGGTATTAGTAGAAATTAGACATGCCTTAAAAAAAAATGCTGCTTTTTTACATCTTCTGTATAGATCAAACACACACAAGCTCTCAACAGGAAGTGGGCAGAAGACAATGAGGTACAGAATTGTATGGCCTGTGGAAAAGGCTTTTCGGTGACAGTGAGAAGGGTAGGTGTGTTTTACTTTGTGTCTGTGGGAATTTTATATTTCTGTTGTTTTCAAACTCTTATATGGGATGCAAACTTCAGAAAACAGTGCTGTGATGAGACATCTCAGACTACAGTTATTGTTTGCAGTACCTTAATGTATTAAAAATAAAGGCTGTGGAGCTTCTTTATTCATGATTCTTTTTCCATTTTAACAGTGTCAGTTTATAAACAGTGTTAAAATATTTCAATATCCTGAACAAGAAAGCAAAATTACACTGTTGTAAGGGTATTTACAGAAAACATATTTATAACCAGTCTGATCTAGATTTATGGGTCTAAAAGGAGTGTAAATTGTTTGAAATTAGGTATGTGTGAAAATACGAGCTATCACCATCATCTGGTGCTTTGTGACTATATAAACGCTAACTTGACATGAAAGAGAAGAAACAACTGAATCCATTTTAGGTCTGTAGTTGGACTCTCTTTATAAAAACAGTTGTGGTCAGCTAAGATGTTAGCATCCCTCAACTGGCTGGGTCTGCCCTTCATCCAGAGATTACCATCCCTCCAACAAGTGACTTGGCAATGAAGTAGACAAGGGATACCCGTGAGGTTCATTTTGCAGAGCTTCCTGACTTGGTCTTAAGTGACTCCCCTGTCCTGCATTAATTTGGTGATGTTCTTTGGGTAGTCTTTGAACAACATCCTTTGATTCAAGGATACTTCTCAATGTGAAAGCCAGTAGTTACGTGTAAGAACATATTTATTGTTGAAGAGGACCAGTTCAAGAGGAGGATGAACCTCAACCAGTAATTTCTGAAGCTCATACATTCTCTTGACTCAGTGAAGCACTTCTGAATATTTTACTCCTATACCCTTTAGAAAAGATTTACTCATATGCCCTTCTGTGTGCTATGTAACTACTATTTGAAAGTTCATACTAGTTTTTGAAACATGAAAGTTGACTTGTCATGATCAGTGCCCTGTCATTGATGTTCAGCATGTATGTTTCTTCTCTTTCACAGCATCACTGTAGACAGTGTGGAAATATCTTTTGTGCCGAGTGCTCAGCAAAGAATGCCTTAACTCCTTCTTCTAAGAAGCCTGTCCGAGTCTGTGATACTTGCTTTAATGACTTGCAAGGATAACTGGCGATTGTGAGTGACAAAGAAAAGTTACACTAAAATTTGCTATTTCTGTTGATGCACTTCGTTCAGCACTCAGACTACTATTCAGTTTGGACAATGATTGTAACACTTGGCAAAATTTAGTATATTTTAAAATGTTTATTGATACCAAGCAAAACTATTGTATTTTTTTGTGAGACATGGGCTCAGATCATCCATAGTTTATTGCCATTTATCATGGAAAGAGCTTTTATGTCTAGATTAGAAATACCCAGTTATTTGTAAATAAAGTTTAAACAGAGGAGTAACAATGTATTTTTTTATCTTTTATTTTTTTGTTCAAGAGAAACAACGTTTATTGTGATATTGAAGTTTATTCTTGTTTCCTTCAAAGAAAAAGGAAGATGCAAAAACTTGTGAGGATTTTATGTATCAAATGTTGCTGTAAAAGCATAACTAATTGTTGCATTTGATTGCATATCAGATGTTCTTTATAGCCTCTTGTGATTTTGTTTTCTTTCTATCTCTCTGATTCTTGCAATTTTCTCTCTAAAGTTTGAGCTCCAGAGTGAACATTATGGCTGGACTCAACTTCAACTCAGTTTTATTTGCCCACTTGTAATATCAGCACCCAAGTCCTCATCCAAATACTGCACTTGGGTACTGGAACATCTTTACATATTATGTAGTTGGTGTGTGAGTGTATCTGTCTGGCTGAGAGAGAGTATGTGTGAACAAATGATGAGGCAAAGTTTATCTGGCATTGTAGCAATATTGCAAGATACATTACGATATTTCATCTCAGATTGATTGATTTCATTTTTACATATTTGGTTGATGAATTCTAATCTTCCAGAAACCACAATTTTAAAAAGCTAACAAATAATACTGGTAGTAGCCTGTAGCACATCTCTGCTCCTACCCATACCTTGGAAACCTTTTTTGCTGTGATTTTGTTTGTACCTCTTTGTTTCTGCCTGCCTGTCTCTAACTTATCTTCCCTTTGTATCTGGCGTTTCAAAACCCTTAAGATTGTTTCTTCCAAGCAGGGATTATGCCTTCCAATATTTAGGGACTCTTTGTCTTAAATACCCTAATACCAAATTTTTCCAGCTGTTCAGTGAAAAGGATTTTGTTCTGAATTCCTCTACTTCTTGCCCGAGATAGAGAATGAAATTCTGTCACAGTGATGGAAGCTTAGCCATCATCGGGAAGATTTGTTTGCTTTTATGTATTGACAGCTCTATATGTGAATGAGGATGAGGAAGAGTCTCCTTTATGAAAAATATCTTGTCCTGCTTAACTATCAAGTGAAGAAACTTCTTAATCCCTCTATTCCAGAAGTGGGGGTCTATATATTTCATATCGCTTCTTAACTTACCTGTCTAGTTCTACATTGGCAGCTTCAAGGAGTTTTCTTAAAATTAAGTTCTTATTTTCCAAAAGCCAAATGAATGATGTAACTGGTTTTCCTCACTGTAAAAGGGTCTGGAATACAACTGTGTGTTACATGAAATACTGACATGCCTTTTTTGGTTTGCACTTAAAAATTGCTTGCTCAAAAAAAATAATGCTGCAACAGTTCCATATGAACAGAACCACTGGACTCCCTGTTTCTCCTCATCAGTGTAGCTGTTTGGCATAAGAATCTTTTGAATAGAAAAATATGAACAGAATCTCTGCCTCTAGGAAATTTTGGTTTTTTATTTATTTATTGAGAGCAACTGAAAAATTTGCTTTTTTTGTCTGACACAGGACTTTAGAAATACGGGAAAATTAAAGATGTGACAATCATGCTCCAGCCTAGATGCATTCTGCCCTGTTGTGTAACACACAGAGTCTCATGCTGCCCTCAGGGTAAAGGACAACCACATGGAACAGAAAGGATTTTGAGAGGGAAGGGAGAAAGTTCCCACAGCTACAGAGGAAGATGGAAATTTTTCAGGGGGAACTAAGAAAATGGTTAAAAGACTCACTCATATTTAGGCATTTTGCTTTTGAATGGGAACATGTGAAGGCTCAGGAGAGACTTCTGCAGTGGTAGAAGCTCTAGTAGGGTTGTTCTTAATTCAGCTTTTTGGGATCGCATTGTGTCATGAGGAGAGGCACCTCACTCAGCAGGCTGCTGAAACACTGCAGTTGATTTACTGCAGATCACACCTTGGTCTGGAGCTCTTCACCTTCAGGGACAAAACCAGCTGAATTTTTGAAAGTTGCTTTTGCTGCCTGGTTTGTATGATCAGCTTTTTAAGGGGATGGGAGTGCTTTTCAAACACGCATTTTTAGAAAGAGATATTGTTAAAATCTGGAGGAATAGTGCTGGAGTGTAAACTTTTGTGCCTGAGCATTGAGTCTGCAGCAATAGGCCAGGATTTCTACAGCTTTTCACTGTAGTAAATTTATTACTCCATTGCCAAATCTTATGCTCCTTTTGTGCTTAAAGTTTTTAGTGCTGATCTGTATTTGTTGATGAGTTGTTGGTATACTACACCCTATAATCATTGGCTTCACTACCAGGTTGGAAGTTGTGCTCAAGCTCAGTAAATTATTCCATAGTAAGGGAAACTGGAAGATGAAAAGCTTTGTATTTTCAAATCTGCCTGCAGACTCTGACTATTTTGATGGGCATGTTTCAGTAGAAATGTAGGCTTTTTGTTGCACTGCTTTAAAATCTAAGTAATAGGAAAACCTAGTAAAAAGCCTGGTGACTGTTACCTTGCTTAGTTAAAGGATTCCAGACAAAATAGTTGAATGTACTGACTTTTCAGACCGCAGACACAGGAACAGAGGGAAAAACTAATAAAATGGCAGAAGAGACTAGAGTCTTGGAACTGGAGGAAGCATGGTGATTTGTTTTCACAGACTCTAGTAAGAGGCAGATTGCTCTGATTCCCTGAGGAATGGCCATTATAGAGGAAGAGGGGAAAATAATGATAAAACCAGCACTCAAACCAGTAGGTGTGTGGATTCCTCCAGCTGCCGTTGGTTACTGGTTATTACCGTGGCATCAGGAATGGGACAGTGAAGTGTGGGCTTTATTCTTGAAACTATCTCCTCTTCAGGACATTTCATCCACATTCAGGATTTCTGGGAGAGCAGAATGTGACAGATTAGCTGCTACATGGGCAGAGACAAGCTGTGGAAGCTATCATAAAAGTAAAGTAAGGATGGTCTTGTTAAGGGTGGGGAGAGGTTCTTTAACTTCCTTGAGACATCACCTGTCTTTCCAGTCAAAGACCCGCAGACCCTTGCATGTTTTCCTCCAAAATGCCAAATCCTACTGTTCCACTGGCTTCCTGTCAGCAATACATCATATTTCTGTCTTGCAACCCCTCTAGAGGCAGGTAGGGTTGCAGAAGTCAGTTGGCAGGCTTTTGATCTTAGCTGGCTGTACTTCTCTGTTATTTATTTCTTTTCCCCCTGTATTCCCCCTTCTGCAAAGGTTGAATGAAGAGGATAAAATTAGTGAGTCACAGTAGGAAAAGTTGCTGTCTGCAGATGAAGAGACAAAAGGAATTTTCTGCTGGAGCTTCCAACAGAGGCAAGAGGTTTACAGGGTTCTCATTTTTCAGCTGGCTTCACTCTCTGGCACAAGAGTCCAAGGCTGTAGGGTACTGTGTGGGTTTTTTCCTCTGTTTTTGGAAGGTGTCAAGTAACCAAGTTGCCATGGAATGTGGAGCACTAGGTACGCAAGAACAATGAATAACTACTTTTGTTGGCTTTGGGACCTTGAGAATTATTTGTGAATCCTCACTGGAAAAGCTTTCTTAGTGGAGCAAGAAGGGATTTGGGAGCAGAAGCATGAAGTACCCTTTCTTTGTTTGTATTGCCTGAGCAAGAACAATTGAGCTTCTCATGCTAGGTGTAAGAGAAATGACGTTCCTAAAGAAGGGATCTGGGAAAAGTCTGGTACTTTTCTGGATTGTTCAGTTAACCATGAAGTGGGAACAGATGCTTGTTGCAAAACTTTAAAAATTTTATGGTCAGTGCTCAGTGATGGACAGAAAACTGGTGGAGCTGAAGTTCAACAGAATATAAACTATGCCAAGAAGAATGATATTATGGTTTGAGTATGTTGAAACTGATAAATTACTCCTCCAAGTACCACCCCTCCTGCTCTCATATTCTTGCAGGACTAGGAAACAGCACTGTCATTTGCACTGTGCACTTTTTACTGTCTAACTAATAGGATCTACAGTAAGTGGAATGGCATAATGTGCCCTGCATCTATTAGCTGTAGTCATTGGACAGAAGGTTTATCATTAGCTGGATTTTTCACTGTATACATTTGGCCCCTTGCTATGTAAGGAGAATTGCATTCACAATTCCTTTTACCAAAAACGCAATCATCATCTGAGAGCACATGTAACAGCAAAAGCCACGTTAGTCACATACATGTTGTCTTTGTAGAACTTTATTTTAAGATTATAAAATGAGAAAAAATGTTTTCTTTGTATTTTCAAGGATCTTGCCAGTTGTGCAGTTCTTAGCTTCTGAAGTCTTGAACTCAGCATCCCTTCTAGAATAAGTTTAAAATTATTGTCCAACAGCCTCTCCAAAAGCACCGAATGATGTACTTTTCAAAACCAGCTATAACTGGATAATAAAGTCCCGCCACAGAAACTCAATTTGGGAGGTATTTTTCTGTTTCTGTTTTTAAGGGGCTCTGAGTAAAGAGATGCATGTTTAGAGAGAATTTTAGATACCACTTAAGTTCACAATAAGGAAGAGTATAAGTCTTGGGTAATGTAATGAACTCTGCCTGTTGCCTGTAGCTCTCCACATACTATGCACTCACTGTGCAGCAGATCAAGATGTATCTGTGCATTTGAAGATTACTGGACCCCTGCTAACCCTTTGGATCCATGTTACTATGAAAGCTGAAGCCTGGTGTTTCCAATTTTCCCTCCCCCTATGGCCTAAACTAAACACTAAAAACAAGTTCATCTGTATTTCTTGTCTTTTTTGGGTAAAGAGGGCTGGGGAAAAGTGTTCATTGTTATATGTCAACAGGCCGGTGCTGGCAGGTCCAGGCTACTGCTGTTGGCTTTATGGCAAAGTCCTCCATTGTGTCATGCTGAAGCTTCATTCCTGGCACAAAAGGGATGTTTGAAAGTATGTCTTGCTGGGTTAACAAATACCAGAACTTTTTATAGTAATATGTCCAAAATGCTGCTTGTATAGGAATTATCACTTTTGTAAGAAAAGAAAAAAAAGGCACAAAAAAAAAATCATACAACCTCCCCATTTGATGCCATTACATAAGATTTCATTTAAGCTACCTCTCAGTGTGCAATTCACACATTAGGTAAGTTTATTAAGGTTTTCTCACTGTCGTGTTATAGTTATAGTGATTAAAGTCATAGTGAATGCCAAAATTGCAAAAGTTTACCACCAAAAAGGAAAAGAGAGTTGTCTTTATTTTTTAATGTGTTTGAAAGTATCCAACATTTTCAAGTTATTATACACTGTGTTATATTCTTTAAACTTCTGTAGTTTCAACCTTGCAAACTCTAGCTGCTGGACAGGATATAAATCATAACCACAGGCCTTCATAATTGCAGTCTACTGGGTAAAAACAATTTTGTATGCAGCTTTGTCATTTGGGTATAGGTAGCCTCAGTCACCAAATGTACCATTAATTTGGTTGTCTTTTTCTTCAGTACTTGGGGTATGAAGTTGATGAATGGTACTCTGTAATGGATGTGTGCCACAAATTACATGGTCTCATTTGCCTTTTCTGAATTTTAATGATCAGTTTATTATTGCAGGTGTGAATATTGTTCATACAGCCTAATTTCTGTATAATTGTAAAAATATAAATGGAAAAAATTATAAGTTTTTATCCAGTATATAGAAATAATGTATAATAATAGACTTATGTTGTGGTTTTACTTACAGAGTACTGTACTTCTTTTAAACTGGATCATACCATCTTGATAGGTGTAGGTAGGGTTTTTTTGCATGAGTGTGTTTTGGTTTTGTTTCTTTTTAATTGAAGTTTGAGTCTCTTTTAAGTTCTATGTTCAGTGTTTGTGTTTATTACTTGTGATCATGTAGTTGTGCCTTACATTGTGAAAGAATTTAGTCCAGTGTGCACTGTAATTCTTAAACTCTGTGATTTGGAAGGTGGCTGTGGATTTGAATGAGAAGGTGACACCCTGCATCAACCAGTTCTGTATAAATGATAAAGAAATGTTACTGAAATGTCATTTTTGTTTTCTAACCTGTTAAAGGAATGATAAATAACAATAAAAAAAAATTGGACCTTTCTAATAGACCAGTTATATCATTCAAAACTACCTTGCCCCATTTCAGGCAGCAAAACTGCTTTGAAATGGAGGATATATAGTTTTTACAAATTAACTGTTGGGAAGCTACACATCTAAAAACAAGCTAAACACTCTAGTTTCTTGGACTTAGGAGGAGCTGCAACAAAGGCTTTCACATTCCTGAGGACACAGTGATAATGACTGTTTTTCAAATTTGTTTTTTTTCACAGGTTAAATTCAGAGTAGTCTTTCCGTTTCCAGTAGCTGTACAAGGCTGCTGGATATCCCACATTCGATTAAAGTCCTTCTGTCACTGACTGTGTTCAGACACCACATTCAGTTGGACAACTGCCATAACTGGAAGACTCAAAACTAGCTCTTGTTTTGTTTTTTAGACTAATGAACATCTTGCTTGTGAGATAGAAAGCTCTTTCAGAGTGGAACTGTGTTGCAGAGAGAAGCCAGATGATTAATGTGGGAGATCAGTCCTATGAGAGAGACACTATCGAATTGTGGGAGCATCAACAAAAACCTGCTTCCTTCTGCCAGCACACAAAGCACAGAGCTTAGTCTGTCAGGTGTGACTGCTCTGGGCTTGAAATATCTTTCTGTCCTGTCAGAATTGGTTTCAAGACACTGTGAGGCTCTGGTGAGCACCAGGTATGATGCAGTGTGCAGCTGAGCTTGGGACTGGGGAGATGGAGCACGGCCATGTCAGACAAGTTGTGTCTAAATGTGTGCAGGTTTTGTGGTGTCCCTGTGCAGATCTGCTGTCTGCACTTTGTTCTACTCTCCTGCTTTACACATTCACCGCTTGGCACGGAGCCCGAGTGGCTGTTCCTTTCCCAGGAAGCTTGCCCATCATAGGCACAAGTGAATGTGTGTATCACAGCAGCCTAGGCTGCATTTGGAGAGACTGAACCAGGTAAGTGCACACATATATATACACATATATGCAAAAAACATTGTGTGATATTATAGTTTAGTAGGTAGAGATGCATAACTATCAGGAGCTATGGCTACACAACTATAATTTAGTGAAATTTATTAAAACTGAATGATGGAATTAGCCTTCTGACTTCTCTGGTGAATGAATTCTCCTCACCAACATAGGAGTTTTTTCCTGTCATGCTTCTAGGAAATTACAGGCTGTATTAAAGTTTCCCTGCGTGGAGACAGTCTTCCCTAAATGAAGCAAAGAGCATCTAGGAGCCATACATTTGTTTCATGGCTCATTCTCCCTCTCCAATTTATTCCTACATGGCATGGTCCAAACTGCTCACTTTTTTGTCTAGTTAAGTCAGAAATCTGTTAGTTTCAGAAACTTAAGGCATTCTGGAAGAGATAACTGTGTTTTCACTACAACAGTCTTCCACTGGCTCTGTCGGTGCAGTGCTGGCATTGTTAAATTTCAGAGGATTCAACTGGGAAGCAGAACTCCGTGCTTTTCCTGGTTTCATGTCTTGTGGTGTAATTGGCGATTGCCATTTCTATCTGTGACATCCATGCTTTCTGTAACAAGAAAAAGTATTTGTAAACCAAGACAACCAAAAAAATTCTATTAATTCAGATGCATAAACACACAGAGCCTTTAGTTTTATTTAGCCTTTCTTCAGGCTCTTGCTCGTAATTACTGAAGCAAACATGAATTATCCCAGAACTGAAGCTCTCCCAGCTGCTGAGGCCACTACACACTGCTGGAATCTGTGTCTGTGGCCAGACATTTCCAGTGAATGTTTCCTTTTTGACTGGAAGGTAGGATTTGCTCTGTTTTCTTGTACTGGTGAGGTTTGTTTCAGGCTCTTTCACCTGTTTTTCTGTGATGTTTATTTTTTTAATGCTGTTCCTCTGATTAAGACAGCCCCAGTTCTATTTGCAAGTGCTGTTCCCCTCCAAGATCTGCCATATGCTGCCATCTGAATTTCAGTTTCTATCATGGTGCTGACAGCATTCAGGTCTATAGTTGCTGTCATCCAGGCGTGAGGACAGAGGGTGATGACTGGAAAGATAATTTAAAATATGTAACTTCCTTCTCTCTCTGCTAGTCCAATGGTATTATCACAGAAGCTGAGTTGTCTCTGAATTTCTATGATTACACATTGGAATAATCTTAAAAGGATTAATCCTTTGGAGTAAAACCTTTAAAGGTCCCTCCCAACCCAAACTATTCTATGATTCTATGACATTGAGAAGATGGTAGCCCTGGTGTAAAGGCAGCTTTGAAAAAGAGAGGTCATATTTCATTAATAGAAGAAGGTAACCACTTCTTGAGTAGATACCTGTTCTAAGTCCCAACCAGTGACTTGGAAATGGAAAGAATTCACTCATTGCTTTTCCTGGAAAAAGTCTGCTGCTGCTTACTTTTAAGAATTAGTATTAATAAGTGTAATGACCAGTCTTCGCGAACGAAGATCCGGGGAAGGTCTTTACACCTTCCAGCCTGCGCATTGGATTTTTTAGGTGAGACACAGTGTGCGCGGAGCTGAGCCCACCCTTTAATCCTGAGGTTCATCTGCCAGGGCCAAGCAAGCTTGGACGGTGGCAGCGAGGTCCTCAGGATGTAGATGGATTGCCTTACAGGGCTAACGAGCTCCATCTGCCTGGGGAGTGTCCTGACCGGGAATCAAACCCGGGTCTCTGCGGTGACAGCGCAGCACCTTTACCCTCTAGACCACCAGGGGCTCCCGAATTAGTATTAGTGGTGGTCAAATTTCTGTGCATTAGGTATTGGAGAATGAAATTCAACTTACATGAGCATGCAAAATACTGTGAAGTGCCTGACACACTTTCAGGTGTTATATACAGTGCTGTTACTGGAAATGGGATATGGTGTGAAAATGAGGGGTAAATTTATATAACAGTGAAATTAATCATACCATCTGTTCAGTCTGAAATTGCAAGATGCATGTTGTGCTAGATGAGCATGAGACAGTTTTCTGATCTGAGTACTACTGCATGTGAGTTGGTGAGCAGGGTTTGGTATTGACTTCTCTGGAGGGTCTGATCGTCTTCATGTCTGTCACACAAGAAATGGCTCTTTTTTTTTTTTTTTTAAGCAATCAGAGTTGATAATGTTTTTCAACAAGAAAATGACTTGCTGTCAACCCTGATATAAAACTGGTACGTGTTCAACAGCAAAAATTCTGTAATAAATGTGTGAGCCAGAGCACTGAGGTGTTATTTTGTTCTGGTTGGTTCTGGTCAAATGTCACAGCTGTAATAGATTCTTATCACAGCTACCGTCCTCCTTTAGGGAAAGTGTAGTTGTGTAATTAGAGAAGAAAAATAAGGTGTGCTACTTACCTTGGCAGTCTCTGTTGGAGCTTGTAGCAAGAAGACTGCTATACACTGCCGATACCTATTTTCATGCTGTATTAGGAAAGCATTTCGCAGGCTGAAGACTGTGGAAGAATGTGAAGGAGTGATATAAATACATCTCATATGGCCGTCAGTCCCAATTTATATCTCATCAATTACGATTGAAGAAATTATCTATCTAATCACCTTTTCAACCCTGATAGGGTGAATTTTTTTGTTGTATGGGAAGCTTTCTTATTTCAAAATCTCAATTCTACTTGCATTTGTTTTATTTTTAAATACTTTATCACTGTGCAGCTAAGGTGATTTTGAGTCTAGCTGAGGATCATTAAGAAATATTTTCCTTCAAAGTAGACTAAATCATAACTGAAGTTAGAGGAGAACAAGTATCAAAAATTGAAGAGAAAGGCCCTATTTTTATTTTATTGAAATAAACCCATGTGACAGCTGCCACATAGGGAAGTGACTGCACTTGGGCTAATGGTGTGTTTGGGTTCTTCCTGGGTGTGTGCCTGAGCTGGTGCTCCTTTTGGGGATGCCCCAGTTGTCTGCTGGCAGCAATATCTTACAGGGCCAAGCATGTTGCCACCCTGTTTCCTGCCAGACTTTTGGTCCTGAAGATGACTTTGAGCATCATGTGGTACATTTCTTTGCAAGGGGACAAATTGACACGAATGTCACATGTCTGGAATGAAGGGGTGGCTTACGTCTGCTATGAAGCAAGCTTAGGGGAAGAGGAGGGAAAAGCATCTTCAAGCAGCCAAAACCCTGTGGCAGACAGCAGGCATACTTGGGTGGGCTGGTAGTACCAGTGAGGGGGACACAGCAACCTGTTCCAATCCTCTGGATTCACATGGCATTGCGTTTTTTTAAACTGAAGTTGATGTTACACTGAATGAATCAATGGTAACTGAGGTGTGGGATTGCCTCCCTGTGAGCGCTCGCCCTAAGCAGAGCCCTGCCCCTGAATCCTCAATCATGCAGCCTGAGAAGAGCTCAGATCTCAAGCTGCTGCAACAAGGCAGCATTTTTTGGAGCCTACCGCAGTTGACTTATCTTTTTGACAAATTTATCTATTTCATATAGCTTGCTCTGAAGTCTTCTGCTATGTACATTATCTTGCTGCTATGTAATGCTTCCAGTTCAAGTGCTGTCCAAGTACTGTCCAAGTGCTCAGAATGTTTCTGCCAGATGAAGAGCAGTATAATCCTAGTTTTGTAGAAAAGGGAAATGGAGCACAGACTGGTAAACTACTGCAGCAAATCAACAGCAGAAATTTGTAGCAGCGGAGGAGATATGTTTCTGAACTCATGCCTTCTGCCTGTCTGTGGTCAATAGGAAATAGAACTTTACAGTTCTTAAAATGAATTTTCTGGGCAATGCTTGGCATCAAGGTCTCAATAATATTTTTAAAAAGAAATTCTGTGTTTGTAAAAATTTGATACAGTAGCATCTAGTATACTAAATACAGTATACTAGCTTTGATACAGTAACCTATCAGTGGGTCTGGCCCCTTCAAATGTAGTGTAAAGCATTATTAGTGGAGTAATAATAAGTAGTTGCAAAGATTAAATTCAGAGCAGAATGATAAAAAGAAAGTGATCTTCTAATCAGAAATTGTGTTGCTGCTTACAGCCTTCAGAGATGGGTTCCTACTATTACACTTATGTATAAAGTTACATCTCTTGTAACTTTGTCATGGTGTTTGCAGATAGTTCTACTTTTAGGATAGCTTCCTGGTGTTATCAGCAAACCATTTTACCTCTTATCTCTACACTGATACATAGGTGGCTTTGGACTAGAATTATCCTGCAAAATTTTTAGCTTCCTGCCTGGTGCCAAAAGGGTATTTCTATGATATAACAACATTTTTTTTTCCTAGTACTTGTATTGAGCTTTGTTTATTTCCGAAGCGAGGTCAACCCTCAGCAAAATAATGAATGCAAAAGTACTTGTTAGATCAAAAATCAGGATTTCATTTTTGATTAATGTGATGGATCACATGCCCTTTCTGGGAACATGCTAACTAATCTTTTAGTGCCAGCAGTAATGAAAGTCTCCTTGAGACTACAAATAAATTGGCAACATTCCCCAAGGTCATACGTTCCAGACAATATTTAATTATTCCCCCCCCCCCCCCGCAAAGGGACATTTTCTGTTGACACTAGAAGGTTTGCTTGTTGTTTTAAACAGAATGGTGGAAATCTGAACTGCAAGCCCTCGATGATAATTTTTCTCGCTATTTTTATTGTACCCTTTCCTAAGGGGTCCTGTGTTAGGATGGGGCTTCCAAGTTGTTGCAGGACTACACGTTAGTACAGAGACTGCCATAGCTACAGCTGTAGCTGGAGAGAACAGCTGTAGCTGAGAGAGAAGTCAGGTCCAGCTTGCAGGATAATGTCATAACCAGTGGACAGAGGCTGGGCTGGGATGCAGAAGACAATTTTGTCTATCCTGATGCTTGATCACAAAGATATAAAGACCCTGATTAGAAATCTCTGAATGTAGGAAATGCTGTCTTGGAAAAAAAAAAAAAATCCAGAAATCTTATTCCCATCCCCATTATGGATTTTTTGGCCAGTCTTTTAGACGCAAACTCGAGGGTGGCTGCAGAAGCTGTCACCTGGCACTTAGCCTGGACTTACACAGGACATGGGGCTGCCCTCCCCTCCACCCTGCAGGCAAGAGGTGGCTGATGTGTTTGCTCCATTTCTGCTGGATTGGTAGGGAGACTTAGTAGGCAGGCAGACAGTGCTTGGAGCACATTTAAAAACGGGTTATTATTCTGTGTTCATTTCCTTATCTCATATTTAGTCATTTGCCTTTTATTGCCTAGCTTTATTTCCTCTCAGCATTGATGCTGAATGCTAAATACTCTGGGTGCATATATTTCAAAGTTATCATGAATTTTACAGGCTCTAGGTTTATTCTCCTTATCTATTGATTTCCTACAGAGCGCTCTAGCTCCCTAAGCTTTTCCTCTCAGTCTTTAGGATTAGGATGACCCAACAGCCAAGAGATTTGTGTTTCTTTTAATTCTCTTTGGTATGGGAGGCTCCTGTGATCTTGGCACTGTTAGACTGAATAGCAGAGTCGTTAAGCTGGAACAGACTTCCAAGATCATCAAGTTCCACCTTTGACCAAACACCACCATGTCAACTAAATTGCAGCACTAGGTGCCATGTCCAGTCATTTATTGGACACTTGCAGGGATGGTGACTCCACCTCCTCCCTGGGCAATCCATTCCAATGTCTAATCACACTTGCAGTGGAAAAATTCTTCCTGATGTCCTACCTGAACCTCCCCTGACTCACCCTGAGGCCATTTCCACTAGTCCTGTCCCTAGCTGCCTGGGAGAAGAGACTGCCCCCCTCCCTGGCTACAACCCCATTTCAGGCAGTTGTAGAGAGCGATTAGGTCTCCCCTGAGCCTCCTTTTCTCCAGGCTAAACACCCCCAGCTCCCTCAGCTGCTCCTCATAACCCTTGCCCTCCAGACCCTTCACCAGCTTTGTTGCCCTTCTCTGGACATGTCCAGAACATCAATGTCTTTCTTGTAGTGAGAGGCCCAGAACTGGACACAGCACTTGAGATGTGGCCTCACCAGTGCCGAGTACAGAGGGATAATCATTTCCCTGGTCCTACTGGCACACTATTTCTGACACAGGCCAGGATGCCATTGGCCTTCTTGACCACCCGGGCACTGCTGGCTCATGTTCAGCGAGATGTTGACCAGCACCTTCTGGTTCTTTTCCTTTGGGCTGCTTTCCAGCCACTCTTCCTAAGGCTGTAGTGCTGCACAGGTTTGTTGTATACAGGGTTGTTTTGACCCAAGTGCAGGACCTGGTATGTCACCCCATTGAAGCCTTGACCCATTAATACAGCTTGTCCAGATCCTTCTGCAGAGCCTTCCTACCCTGCAGCAGATCAACACTGCCACCCAACTTAGTGTAGTCTGTGAACTGACTAAGAGTGTCCTCACTCCCCTCATCCAGGCTTTTTACAAAGGTGTTAAACAGGACTGGCCCCAGTACTGAGGCCTAGAGAACATCACTAGTGCCTGGCCACCAGCTGGATGTAGCACCATTCACCACCACGGTTAGGTGTGTGAGAGCCTGCATCAGCAGCTCAGACCAAGGGGAGATCTGATGTTTCATGCCTGGTCTCTCATCCAAGCTCTGATTTGGTGACTTCAGAAATGTTGTTTTGGCAGGGTAAGGCTGGCCACTTGCTGGAGGTCAGTCCTCCTCCCTTCCTCTCCCAGCTGCACAGCACCAGTTACAGGAGGTGGTTTTCCCCAGTGATGCATTTGGATGTCTGAGAACAAGGAAGCATTGATGTATGGTGGGTGATTTCTGTCCTCTCGAGGGCTAATGGAGAGATGAGTAGGAGTAGCAATAGGAGGTAAATCCCCTCTCCAGCCTCCTTGAGAATGGCTGCTGTGCATGTGGGAGGACACCCAGGAGAACAATGTAGTGAGAAAGGTGAAAAAATGCTGCCTAACTAGTATGGAATTGAAAATGTACTTGGGAAAGAGGCCCGGGCTTTGAGAGAGGGTATTAGGACAGTTAGGGCAAGAAAACACTTGGCTTGTGAGAAAGAAGTAATTTGAGCCTTGATACCTCCTTTGGGGTGAATGGATAATACCTGAGAGTCACTGGTGCGTATGTGAAAGTCACTCTTAGAGGCAGGGGGCCATGGGGTGTAAAGTCTGTGGCAATCACTCATGCCTTAAAACGAGCAGAGCTGTGAAGCCACAGCTGTGAGGCACTTGTGTTTGCTCTTCAGGCATCTGGGGGTGGTTTGTGGACAAACAGCATCTTACCCTTACACTGCCACACACACAGAGTACACTGGCATGGCATTCAGATGCATGCAGGCACATACCTGTAACTTGGACAGGTTCAATGTTCTTCAGTGTTAGTCTGTCTAGTGGGATGGGCTGGTCCAGGACTGTGCAAAATCCGCCCTCTCTTATGAAGGACTGCAGTTCAGGAGTGAGGGAAGGACAGACAGGGATTAAGCTGGTGTCTGAACCCCCATATTTCTGGGAATAGAAAATGAAACTGGTTAGCTTGTTGTCTGCCATCTGCTCATGGAGTATAAGCACTAAAGGCAATTAAATTACATGCTTTCTCTTATCAAACATACACAGACAGTTTTTTTGCCTGAGGAATCTTAGAAAAACTCACTGGTACCTGGAGCTCTCCTGCAAGGTCATACCTTGCACTAAAAAGACACAATAGAAACACAAGTCCACAGGCAGAAAACAGCCAAAGGCGTTCAAAAGGATTTTTTCCCCTTTCCCCCTTATTTTAATAGCAGGTCTTTTTCTCCATTTCTTGGAGGTGTGTTTCACCATCTCCCCTCACATACATGCTGGAGACAGAAAATTCCCAGAGCTCCAGATGAGTTGCAGCCCTTCACAGAAGGTTCACCAACACAGGTATGTGGGACAACCCTTTAAAAGACTTGCCTGAGGGTACCAGGTCCCTTGAATTTCTGCTTCCTTCACCACCACTCTTTTAAGGAATGGTGCTGCTGGTCCCAAATCCCTCACTGCATGTTTTCTCTATCTCCCTTCTTTCTAGAGCAGAACACCTGCTTCTTTAAAAAAAAAAATAATGCAAGAAGTCTTTAAATCAGGCACAAACTTGTTGAGATTTAGCAAAGGTCAATTTAGACTTGGTTTACATCAGCTTCATAAACTGAATTAGCTAGATGCACTCCTACACTAAAGCTTTAGGAATTTTAGGTCATCCAGTGCCTTTCTTTTGTGGCTAAATACAGTTATTTATTATCTATAGAACTCTATAGCACCATTAATCAAGAAACATTTTCTTAAGCAAAGTCACTATATCTCAGCTTTAAGCTAGGGGAAATCAAGGCAAAGAGAGGACAACAGGCAGTGTAGGAACTGAGAATTAAGCCAAGCTTCTATAATTTTAGCATTTCCCTAGTTTTTTTCCTTTCTTTTTTCTTTTATTTTTTTTTTCTTTTCCAACAATTCTGATATCTTTGGGATAAAAAAAAATCTCATATTACTGAACTGAATCATCCAGGGAATATTAGAAAACTTTTTCCGTTTTTGAACCTTTTCTGAGGTTTAGTTATCCAGCACATGAGAATCCAGCACATTCCTTAATATCAGGTAAATATTAAGGTCTTTTGATGTAAATTTTGCCTGTAGTAGTGTTCTTGTAACATACTGAGCCTAGAAGCAGGGTTTTGAATCAGTGTTATGGTTTGCTAGTAGTATAAGGAATTATCACCGGTTCTTCATGCTGATTAGTTATCTTGTGTTTTTATCATTAGGTCAATCTGCTAAAGTACCTTCAAAATACTTACCAAACTAAAAACCATAACAACTGCAACCATGTATATCTCTATACATTATTACCTTTTTGTTGCGCTTGATTTTGGTTATTAGTAGGAAATCATCAAATAGGAAGAGGTAGACATCAAGGAGTCTTGTGCTTTCTGAGAAGGGAAAAAAAAAAGTCAATTTTATGGTGTGATTATTTTAAGGAATTGCTGCCTCTAAGATGAGGTATATTTGAATCACTGCATTGTACAAAATGCTTTTAACAATGATGCCTCACTTCTAGTAATTTACAACTACTTGTTCCTTATGTGAGTCTGTCTTCTCAAACACAGTAAATCATATACTGCTTCTTAATTTTGGCTACTTATACTTGTACCTTGCAGCAGCTACCTCATTCTGATTAAACAACTACTTGCCTGCCAGGAAAAATTACCTGAGTCAGTGTTGTACAAATACAACAAACAGCGTGCTATAGACTAGCAAATCCTGCCAGGTAAGCAGTGAAACTTCTGAAAATGGCAGAGATAAAGGAACAGGGAAGTACCACCTTTTCCTGGTATGCTGCCCTTTTCATATGCCTTTGCAGTGATGAAGTGTTATTTGATAGCATCATGCAAGGGTGATAGAAAGTGTTGTAGAAATCAACTTGCTTGTGTTGGATCACTTTGCTACCCGTGGAGTTAATGGCATGTTGTATGAGTGCTCTGCTCATGAACGGGAAGCCACCTGGCAGGATAACACCTTCTTGTTCCAAGGTATCTATCAGAACAGCAGACTTAGTAGAGATGAAGTTGAAATAAAAATAGGAAATACCTTTGGACTCTTCAGTAATTTTCAGTGAAACACATAGTAGATATGATGCTAGAGGGGTGAGATATGTTGACATCAGTCCCCTGCCATGTGGGGCACCTTGCATAGGACAATCTAAACTACCTGTTTCCCTGTTTCCACATTCTTCAATATGACAGCACAGGCTCCCTTTGAGTGGCAGGTTTTGGCCAGCCTGACTGATTTTTTCAGCACCCGGCAGACTGAGTATTCAGATGTGGCAATAAACAATCATACAGACTACTTATCCTTTTGGCAGTTTACCTGTATCTGAGTCTCTCTCTGACAAGCTATAAATTTGCTTTTTCTTTCATGCACCTGCCTAAGTGCTATTGCAGAGGTTTCTTCTGAACCTGCCATGACAATGTATAATTCTGTTAAGCTATCTCGCAGCACCAGGACATTCAGGGACATTACCTGCTAACATCAACCTCCCTTCATGAAGGAGAAGTCTGTTCGCTGAAGACAAAATGTTTTCACTGCTGTTTTCTCGTAAGCTTTGCTTCAAACACTTGACCCAAAAAAAGAGAGAGAGAAAATGGGTATTCTTGCATGTTTGATTGGGAACTGGGAGGTAACCAGCAGTTAAAGAAGATGAGCATACGTGTGTTCTTGTCTCAGGCTAAATACATCACACAGCTGATAACTGAGCACGGCTGTGTTTCTTCAGCAGTGCTATTGCTTAAACATATTCATGCTTTTGAAATGTTAAGCTGGAGTTTACTTTTCCGAAGTGAGTTTAATAGTTTTTGCAGCCCTGTATGTGAGCAGACAAAATCCTTGAGGTGAGACTCACTTGATGATGTTACCATAATGCTGCTTAAAGTCTGTCTATTTGGGTAAGAGGATTAGAACAGCAGAAAGGTGCACGCCCAGGTGTGATGTGTAATTTTTTGTAGTGTTACTTAAATGTAAATTAAAAGTTCTTTGGCTCAGCTCAAGGAGTGAGAGAGGCAAATAATTTGTAATTAATATCTATATAAAATGGTGGTAATACTTACACGTATCCCATTTAATTCTGTCCCCTAAAAACAAATATTGAAGAGTCTTCCTGGACTGTATGACTGCACTCTCTTGGATGCTAGCTAGGAGGAACCAATGCTGTGATCCAAGGCACTGTGTGTATTCAGCTACAGTGTTTGCAGCTGCTCCTGTTAGAGCCATCCCTAGTAACTAGAATACAGACAACCAGCCAACTTTAGACCACATTATAAAGATAGATAGGAAACTAAATCATCCCCAAGTTAAAAATACCTTTTCAAATCTGCTTACCTCTGGGACAAAGAACCTTTTGTCACGATCCCAGACCTGAGGCCAAATTATGACCTCTTGCAGCTGCCTGAACTTCTGAAAGTTGTCCAACCACTTGACTTTACCTTCCAGGTCCCCTGAAATGTGTGAAACCCCAGTCACTGCCAAGGTTGGCATAAGCAATCCTGTTTCTAGAAGATGCTAAATACCAATTTTCTCCGGTGAAAGCCAAAGTGCCTCATGTTAGGCCCCAGAAGAAATCTTGACGTCATTGTAAAAAATGCTTAAACTCTTCTTAGATTAACAGGGACAGAATTTCAATTCATGCATTCAAAGATGCTTAAATTCACTGCTAAATGAAAAGGTTGTGTTTACTAATCTGTCTGGGGAACAGAGGAAATCATATAAAACTCAATAAAACTGTAATCTTAAAAAATATCTTTAAAAAGGTCCTGCCTTTCTAAACTGTGTGGTACAGTGAGAGAAAAATAATTTTCATTATTTATAGCCTGATAAAAAGACTGTTGCGATTACTGAGAAGTGACTGAAATATTTAACTGGGATGGGGTGCTTCAGAATGCGAAAGATTGGGACTGTGTCATTGCAAATTTAGGGCCAATATGGGGAAAGCTCTCACAGACCTGCAACTTAAATTTCAACTTTTTGGGTTGAGTGATATTGCAGATGACTGTTTCAGACACACCTCCCCACCAGAAGGGTAATGCTATGACTGCAATTGTCCTTTATGCCACTGATTCACTGATCAGAAATGAAGGCAGATCCTTGTTGGGCGTCTGTGAACAAAGAGGGATCACTCCTCTATCTTTGGTTTCCTTTACCCAGAGGTCTCTGATTTCTGAAAGGATCTGTTTCTTTGCCAGTAATATTCCCTAGATATCCTATGGTCCTTTGGGACCATACCTAACGCTGCTGTCCTCCCAGCAGACATCCCCAGGCTATCAATGAGACCGCTTTATTTTCCTATGGGACCCGTTCTGTGCAAAAAAGTGTGCTTCTTGTGTGGCATTAGGACAGACTCCTCATGAGACTTGGCAAGAAGAGAAAGAACCCAAGTCTCTCTTTTAGATGGTAATTCTGTCACTGGAGTATTTACCCATGAAGAAGTAGCCCCAGATTTATGTATCTGTAGAAGACATTAGCTCTCTTGCTTCCTCATCTCCTGGGGAGATGCTCAAACCTTCAGCCTCTGGCACAAGGAGAAGGATGGCAGCAGAGAGTGACTCACCCTGCTGGATGGCTCAAGGCCCTGGTGTGTTGCTCGTGAGGATGAGGCACTGTTTGGCACTTCTCCTGTCAGGACTGCTGGGATAAGTGTTTTGCTGATGTACTGTATTGTCTGATTTCAGTGGGGACTGGATGAAGCCTTTGGGGAATAAATCTATCTGCTGATGAACTATATGACCATAAGGCACTTAGAGATACATTTAAAGCCTTTTGAGCAAGACTGAGTTAATAAATTATATAGAATTAATAAATTATTTACTTAAAACAAAATGCAGGGAAAAATTAATACCTAGACCAGCCCCTTATTTCCCACAATACTTAGAGAAAATCTGTAGCTGAGACAACTCTTCAGCTACTTTACATAGTAGAACCCTGTCATTAGTGAAAGGTCATGGACATAATATTCCCCTTGTGAGTACAAATTTATCCTATTACGAATCAGCCACAAAAAGTTTTCCCTAGACATAAATCCAACTCAAAGACTTCTTTGTTTGAGATATTTCTTGGTTTGTTCCAGTTTCTGATCTGCTCTTAATTGTTTGCCTGTCATGCAGATGATTCAGAGAAAGTGCAAGTGACTCACTGATTTGGGAGTCCTGTGGAATTGCTCAGAGAGGTTTTGACAGCATAAGGTGGCCCAAGTCATTCGCTACAGAATGAGGCTCAGGACTGTAGAAAGGCAGGAGCATCCTCATTGCATTTCTGCAGAGAGACTGGACCAATTCACACTCCAAAGGACATGCACAAAAAGGCCAGGTAACTTGCTAGTTGGTAATTGCATACTTGACTTTTAACCTTGGTTACTTACATATGGACTTTTCCACTTTCTCCTTAAGTGATTGGATAAGGCCTTTCTCTGTTTCATCAGTGCTCCTCTTCCAGATGTTGTTAAGGAGGAGAGGATAGCGCGTCAGTCGATGCAGAGGAGCGACCAGCAGCTCTGGCAGATGCAACCTCTTGCATTGTTCATTTTGTTCACACCACTGCTGAAGACAAGGAAAACCTGCCTTAGGCTTCAGCTTGCTCCCTGGCTGGGAGGTAGCAAAGAGTTTTCTGCACCATGAGCTGACTCTAATGAGACAGGGACTAGTGAAACATGAGTTTCTTTTGCAGAGAGAGCAAGGGCAGTATAGAGGCTCTTGTCGTGGTTTAACCCAGCAGGTAACTAAACAACTCATTTACTCTCCCCTCCTCTCCCCTCTGTAGGATGGGAAAGGGAACTTGGAAATAAAAAAAATATAATTTGTGGTTTGAGATAAAAGCAGTTTAATAAGACAGAAACAGAAAGAAAAAATAAAGTAGAATTAGAATATACCAAACAACTGATGCACAATGCTCACCACCCACTAACCTATGCCCAGCCAGTTCCAGAGCAGAACCCCCCAGCCAGTTTTCCCTCTAGTTTATATACTGAGCATGACAACATATGATATGGGATATCCCTTGGGTCAGTTGGGCTCAGCTATCCCTGCCACGTCGCCTCCCAACTTCTTGTGTCCCTAAATTCCTTGCTTGTGAGCTGGGGTGAGAGACAGAAAAATCCTTGACGTAGTTTAAATACTGCTTAGCAATAAATAAAAAATCACTGTTATCGGGATTACTCTCATCTTAAATCCAAAACACAACACTATACCAGCTACTAGGAAGAAAATTAACACTATCCCAGCCAAAACCAGGACAGTTTTCTACTTGGAAATTGCATCACTCCTCCAGATGCACTTTCTGCATTGCTGCTTCCCATTCCAGATGCTGTGTCCATGCTATCAGACGAAACAGTGCTCTTACTTATCTCCTGTTTTGATTTTCTCAGGAAAACCTGAGAAAATTAACCTAAGTTAGGTTTGAAGGCCACCTTAGGTTTTAGAGTCACTGCTACTTGCCACTGGGGAACTTTGTCCTCGGCGTGAACGTATGAAATTCTTGTCAGGGAGCAAGCGATGCGAAACGTCAAGGCCCAAGCTGCTGTTTGCCTGCTACAAAGACATGTCCTCCCAGTTTTGGGCTGCCAGTGAAAAAAGCCCACTACTTCAGATGTCTCTTTCTAAACCTGTAATGTCAAGGATCAGTCTTAGGTGTTTACAGGACACACTGGTCCGCTAATGATATTGGAAAGAGCAGAGCTTTCTCCCTAAGATCTCCACCACCGCACTGGCTGGAGCTTTTGCTTCAGGCAGATGTGGTGTCAGAAAAGACAGAACCTACTCTAGTGCTGCAACTTGATAAAGACGTCACTGATAGCTCTATCCAGCCTTAGAGGGAGATAAATGCTTGGTTAATGGTGTTGTTTAGAGAGAGAATTTAAGACGTGGCTTGATTTTTGTTTCGTTTTTAAATACTGTAACCTTTTCCTATTGTTAAAGTGGAGGTCATTGAGTCAAGGGATTATGTTGTTGTTGGCCAGTCTTCACGAACGAAGATCTGGGGAAGGTCTTTACACCTTCCAGCCTGCGCATTGGATTTTTTAGGTGAGACACAGTGTGCGCGGAACTGAGCCCACCCTTTAATCCTGAGGTTCATCTGCCGGGGCCAAGCGAGCTTGGACGGTGGCAGCGAGGTCCTCAGGATGTAGATGGATTGCCTTACAGGGCTAACGAGCTCCATCTGCCCGGGGAGGGGCCCCGACCGGGAATCAAACCCGGGTCTCTGCAGTGACAGTGCCGCGTCCTTAACCTCTAGACCACCAGGGGTTCCCAGGGATTATGTACAAAACACCTGAATTACAGAGGCTAGTAGTACAAATTTTCTACCTGCAAGAATGAAACCAGTTCTTCCGCTTTGTCTTCCCCCTCTTATCTGGTCTAAATTACAAGTATAGACTTTCACGTGTGCAGGTGAACATACATCAGAAGGGGGACTTCTTATCATTGTTAGCCTCTGCAGTTCAAGAAGCTGACATGAAATGTTATCTACACAGTCTGAATGAACTTTCCTAGTCTGCTGTTAAAATCCTGTCATAAGGTAGGAGTTCTGAAGAGTACAACAACAAAATCATCACTTTACTTTCAGGTAGATGCCAAAATCTTCTCTCAGTCTCAGTTTTTCCAAGTAGAAGACAGCAGAAGTATAATTAAGGCAATAAATCTGGTGTGTCTGGCAGAGGTCACCCTGGAAAAACTGCAGAAAAGACTTGGAAATTTATCAAGAAAGAACAATACTATGACAAAGGGAGAAACAATGGTTTTGGTTTTGTAATATTTTACCTGAGATTTCATTGTACTTAGGAAAATATGGGAAGAGGAAAAGGGGGAATTAAAAAAGTAAAGGGCAAGTTAACAGTAGTAAAAATTTAAAGCAGTAAAAAAATCAGTCAAGCAATGCATGGGAGCACAGTTCTAACAGCTCTGCAGATGTGTGACACATTCTTAGGCTTTATTCTCGTTAAAAATAAATTATTTGAAATTCATGTAAAAGTTGAAGATAAAACCACTATCTATGAAACAGCTTTGATGACTTCATGTAGCTTAGTATTTTTGGTTTGATTGTGTTAGATTGCTCTTAGAAATGATAGCATAGTATCATTCAGGTTGGAGACGTTGAATGTCATCAGTCATAAAATTTGTTTTGTCTGGGATTTTTTTCTGTCTCACACAAACATTATCAATAAGAATGTCTGAAGTCAGAGATAACAGGGTGAGAAACCAAGCTCTAACCTACCTTTCCCTGTTAAAAATCTTAACACTGAGGTAGGGTCTGTTTTAGTATTTCCCAGAAGTTTTCTAATGGCCTCTACTGCTAGGGAAAGTTCAGGTCCATCAATTGATTTTCTGTCTGTATTGATATTTCCAACTTTAAAAATAATTGGGAAGTTATGTATGTGTATGTGTAACAGGTATTTCAGTCCCACTGAGCTCTTAATTAAGCACTTAAAAACATTTGTGGGTCTGCTCCATGGAGTAAAGGAGGGTCTATGTGAAGGAATGGAAGAAGCCAGGAAACATCTAGTGATGGGGCTGGGGAGTGGTCTCGGGGAAACACTTTCCACAGAGCTTGAAGTACTCCTCTGCCACTGGCCAGGGTCTGGGCCAGGAGGGGAAAATCTTTCCACACTTTATCACGCATACATTTCCACAACTGCTTCAAACATGCCAATGAATAAATAGAAAAACATCCTGATGATAGGAGCTGCTTGAGGTTGAAACCAAACTGACTGCGACAGATGGCATGTCCTTGACTGACTTGATTGCTCTAAAGCACCTGCATTCTATGATAAATGATCTGCTTCAAGGACCTACTGCTACTAAAAGCAAAAATATTTCCAATTGAATTACCATTCTGAGTATGGAGCTGAAATCCATGGGAGAGTCTGTCTTGCTGACATGCTCCTTCACAGTTTGAAAGAAAGTTTTCAGAAAACTGAGACTTATCTAAGTAAGGGGGAAAAAGAGAGAAATTAACATCAGTGACCTGAAGTTAAGATGAAAACAACTTTCTTCCCCATCCCTGGCCTCTCCAAAGGCTCCAAGCCTAATGGGTGTCTATAGTTTTCTCTTTGACATTGCCAGAATTATCTTCAGAATAAAGCCTGTTCCTAAGCCCTCACTTGCCTCCTGAGCACAATGTTTTCACACATATTCATGACCGAGCTCAGTTTTAGGCCAAATTTCAGGCCAGAAGGAGACACCATCCACTTTGATACTGCTATGAACTGTTGTACCTGCATACAGGTGTTTATGGGGGCAGGGCTGTTTATAGGGTGATACCTATCCTTTAATTTTGACATTTACATATTTTACAATATGCATTTTTTCATTGATTCAGCCTGCTGTCAAGAAGAAACACATGCTGTAAAACGCAGGAGAAAAGGCACAAAAGGCACTCACAGCAGCTACTTTCTCCTAAATTTAATCACTATTTTCTATGCAAGTATGCGTAACAGATGATCTTTTATCATCCTCATTAATAAGGATATAAATAAGGACAACAAAAATAGAAAGTAAAATAGGAACTGTGTTAAAGATAATTCTCTCAAGACATGACCAAGCTCCAGCCAAGCTCAAAGCACACAGCAATATATACCACTCCTTTCTTTGAATGAGAACAAAGAAATCGACAAACTCACATCTGTTGAACTCTAGTAGTTGCCTGCATGTATGATCTTAGTCCAGAACAAACAAAAGGTGAAGCACATCAGCTTAAAATCTCTTTCCTTGTATCTCCAGACCTGCTCTGTTGGTCATTCTACAGCTCACCAGGTGTGTGGTCTGTAACTGAGCAGCAGTGCCTTGCTCATGTGTTTGAGTTCTGGTTAATTGTCCCTACTTTGAAGACCTTTTCTGATTTTCTTGTTTTGGCTAAAAAAGGAGATACTCACTATTAAGACAAGGGAAATACAACAAAGAGGAAAAAACAAACTCAGCAACGGTTTTAGGGCAAGTGATGTGATTGTGAGCAGTCATTCAATTAAGGCAGCTGAAGAATGCTTTCCGAAATTCATTTTGCTGTTGACCTTAAGGTATCCTGTAAAAGGGCCCTCAAGCTAAGGAGAACTTCTGTTTTGTTTCTAAAGTAATATAAAAGTTTTTTTGGATTTAGAGATTTCTTAACTTTCAGAGCTGAAAGCGGTCTCTCAACAACTGGCCAGAAGCAGCAAAGAGCTGGAGCACATCAGAGCCAAGCCTTGTGGCCTCCTTCCTCCTCGACTGCGGGAGGTAAGTAGCACATGAACACGGAGCATCCAGTCTGTGTGGGAGAAATCCTTACACACATGCCAAGGGAAACTTCAGCTGGAGAAAAGAGGTCACCGTTTTGTTTTAACTTGCTCTATTGGAGTGGCATAATAGACAGCAAAGTCTTTGTGCCTGCCTGTTTGCAAAAGGGAACTCATAGTAATTATTTTGCCATGCTTACTGTTTTGCTGTAAGGATTGTGTAGTAGGAGTTTATCTTCACAAATCCTTTTAAAAGTTCACTGCTTATGAGAAATAGTCTCAAACTTGCATTTACTTCAGAAACAACTGCCAAATGAGCTTTCCTCCATGTCTAAAATGCCTGTTTATCTTTTGCTGGAGACACAAAAGAATGGTTTGCACTGGTAATATTTGACCCTCACCGATATACCAAATAGAAATGAGAAATGACTGATTATTTGAACAAAGTTCCAAATGTGAACACTGAAACTGAATAGAAACTTTATGGATAGTTTGTTGTCTTCTTTTATTGGGCTGGTTGATTTCTGATCTCAGTAACACTTCTGTTTTTTTACTCACCTTGTTTAACTCCTCCAAGTTTGCAAAAAGTCTCCACAAATCCACATCTAAGAGAAATTCATTACTCTGGAGGTATTTTAGGGTGTTCAAAAATATCTTCAAAACCAAAACAAGTAATATTATTTACAATTTATGCCATTTCAATGTATCTCCCTCCCCCCCCAAAAAAAATAAAGTATTTGTGCTGTAATTATTATGAAATTATAATTTGATTTGGGGAGGGCAGACTATGGCATTCAGAGCAAAGTTTCATGCTCTGACTAAAGGCTAAATATTGGGGTTTGTGTGTGGAAGACAGTATGAATGATGTTTTTGGGGTTTCTTTGTGACTACCACAGAGGCAACTATATCCCTACTGTGTCCTCTGGTAGAAGAGGGGAAACTGAGACATCTGAAGATTCTGTGTGTGAAGGAATTAGTAACATCAGAAGCACAGTTACATATTTCTATGACCTTTCTAAATGTTTTCCTTCCTATTTCACGCATCTAAACTGTTTAGAGTTACTATGGGAAAAAAATTATATTGTTGAAATAATGTAAGTAGACGCCCTGTGAAGATTTTTCATCTCTTTGGATTGTTTAATTAACCTCCATTGCATGAAAACAGCATGTGTATTTATTAGCTGTTGAAGATTTTATGTTGTTTAGGCTGATTGAGTAATACTGAATCTGACCTAAATCTGAAAAAGGCTTAAAATTTATGGATTACCAAGTAGATTTTTTTGTTTGTGTGTCAAAAGCATTAATGAAAAACCTATCACCCAGTTGCCAAGACTGGATAGCTAGTGAGAGTGTTTGCTTAGCCTTGTGTAATTCTTTAGTTACCATGAACAGATTGACCTAAGACCTTAAAGGGGATTTATGGTGGTCTTAAATCTTCCTGTGGAGATTCATTAAAATCAGTGGAATATTTCTATACTTGGAAGTAAGTAGGTATCTGTAAACTGGTTACCCAAATGCACTGAGTTCTTTCTTTGGCAGGGGAGTTTGGGAAGCTGGCATGGACTGAATAGTTCATCATTCACGGGTCATGCAGAGCTGGCTAAGGCTTGTCTGTGGTTTCCTACATCACACTCACCAAAGGGCCTGCATGTCTGCTATTATCATCCCTCCCAGAATTCACCACTTTTTAATCTTTTCAGATTTCTGAACAAAGTGTACAGAAGGAAAGATCTTTCCTCCTACCTTGGACCAATAGCTAGTCCTGTCATTCCCTTTCCTCCTACTTCCTGTTCTGTCCCACCAAGGAGGAATTCAGCCCACTCCTCTATTTCCATTACTTTGCAGTACTTCTTGTACTATCCAGGCTTACTTTTCAGCAACATGGAAAATGTTTCACAAATCTCTTTCCTTTGCCTAATAAAAATCCAAAATTGTCTGTGCAGAATAAGAGAAAAATTATAAGAAAATATTTTTGGAAGTTTCAATCCTTTTAAATGGATACAGTTAATTTTGATGAGTAATGACTTTGAATAGTGCAGCTATTCTTGTAACTGTGTGTAATATTCTTGTTCATATTTCAAACTCTTAAAATTCACTATGATGGAGGTAACATAGATTTTTTGCAGGAGAGGAGCTGTTTTAAGTATGCTCGTTTTTATGTAATATTAGAACTACAGGTCTGCGGAATTCTGAGGTTTTCATGCTCTAGTCAGGATAATCTAACCATAGCTCTATATGAAGTTAAATGGAGAGGATAATGTTCCATATTAGTAGTACAGAAACATTCAGTTGGAATAGTACAGTACAGAAACAGCTGAGTGGAGAGTGGCTTCACTTCAGCTTTATGAGAGGAATAGTAGAATATCAGTTGAAATTACTGAAAGAATATACAATCAGATGGTAGTGCCAAAGCACTAGATTGCACCACTAGAAAGTGATGTTTAGAAGAAGATATGCAACCATAAAGACAGAAGCCAAAGGGAACTATGAAAACAGGATGAGCAAGAAAGATGGGAGGAAAAACCGAGTGCTTAATACATTCCCCATAGACACTTTCCCCACAGACACTTAATGAGAGGTTTCAGGTAGCTTTGTGTCTGCCATGCTGACAGCAGAACAAATAATGTAATTATTTTTGCGAAGTGAAATCTGAAGTTACCATCTTGAGAACCAACAAATGATCCAGAAAGTAAGTGCATTCACTTGTGAAAAGTTCCCACACTGCTGCTTCTTTTTTCACTTCTAACCGGCTGTCGACATCTTTCTGCTCAGTCTGTTGCTCATTTATAAATTCATGCCAAGTTTTACTCTATTGATTGAAGAAAAAAGAAAACCAGCAATTGTTTCATCAACCGCTTCAGACCTTATGAAAAGAATCTATGTTTTATTTCCTGCATAAAGAGCTCATCTGCCAGTATTAGTGATTTTTCTTCTGAAAGCTTAAGGATTTCCTAAAAGAATTTAAAACCCTGAAATTTTCCTACAAAATATTTATTATATAAACACACTAAATTTGAAAGTAATGCAGTAGGATAATCTACGTTTGTGGGATGTTGTATCAAAAAACAGTGGGCAGCTTGCAGATGCTAAGGAATTGAATCTGTTGTGCTGCTGTTGGAAAGCAGGGATGGATGATAGCTTCTTATTTTCCAGATGATAAAATCAAGCTACCAAAGGCCTATGTCTTTATAGTCACTTGGAAATTGTTTTGTTTAGTCCTAAGGTGGCCACTATAATCTTACTGATCTGCTCCAAAGTCAGTTGTCCCCATATAAATTAGGCACTGACAGGAGCCCTCTGGGAAGCTGCAAATAACAGCAATATTAATAATAACAATGAGAAGCAAAAGGTTTGCTTTGGAGAGGGGATGGTGTTAGGTGTGCGTTATCTGAATATCACCCTCGTAGCCCATGCTTGGTGTTTCTGTGGCTAGGGGCCAGAAGCCTTGTTTGTCTGGCAGACAGGTTTTGGTGGGATTTCTGCAGCCAAACCTTGGTGTTGGCACTGATTGCTCTGTGGCTGCCTCTGAACACAGCCCTAAGGCAGCAATGGGGGTGACTGTGCCCCATCTGACATCTCTGTCATGCTGCAATTTCTTTCCCCAGACCTGCACGTGCTGCTGAGAGGGTTGTCTTGAGACCTTTATTCTGAAGGTGGTACTTTCCTGACCTAAGACAGTCTGAAACCCTGGCAAAATGCAGATGGTCTTGAGGGCCCTTGCTAACCTTCTATGACCCTCAGTTTCTCCCTAGCCCCTCTATTTCAAATGACAAAAATATACCTTATGTATTAATATACCTTATGCAATAATGTAACTTATGTATTAATTTAACAGAAAGTCTATCCAGATTAATGTGCTGAAAAATATTAACTTAAAAACAACACAAAATTCCTCCCCCATTGTTAAGTATCTTCAATACAGCATACTGAGTGTTTTGATACCTTAAAGCAGAAAAATTCATATGTGCAGCAGTCTATGATCTTAATGGTTGAAAGACAATTTTCCAGATCAGATGCTTGCTTCTGTTTGTCTTTACCCTGTTGAATGACAAAAAAACCACCCCTAATTCATACAAGTGAAGTTTGCCCAGCTCAGTAACCTTGCCCTAATCTGAAAGGAGTTTGCCCTTCAGCAAGTGGTTTCTTTATATTTCCTGGCCCTCCTACACAGAGACAATGTAGTGATGGCAGGTTTCTTTGTAGCTATGGGTGGGGTGTGGAGGTACCTTACATCTGGAAGAGTAAGGTCTTATTTATGTAACACAATGGGCTACCCTTGGAAAACAGAACAAATAAGATATTTTTCTTCCTTTAGCACCGTCAGACATAGGTAACAACAGATTCATAGTTGAAATCATCCTCCTGATGAGCTATATATTGAATAAGCTTCCTTGGTCAGCTGCAGAGTAGTGTCTGTAAAATGAGCTTTCAGAAAGCTTAGAGAGCAGCAGCAGTTTGTGTGAGGGATCATGAAATAAAAAAATTTGCTTTTGTTCTGGTTTTGTGTTTTCAGGCCATGTAAAGTTTAATCATTATTTATGAACTAACTTAAGTGCAGTGGGTGCAGACTTATAAGGTGTTTGCCTAACTTTTATCTGCTCTCTGGAACAGTATATTATATGGATTTCTATTGTCTGAACTTTAGGCACTGAACTCAAGCCAACTTTGAAATTTTATGTGTTTGATTACAATATTTGAAACTCAGAGTATAGGTTCAGCTCTTAATTTTGAAAGATAGCTTGAAATGGAGAAGAAATTTATGGAATTTAAAAGCCTCATTAACCACTTTTTTTCTGAATATCAAATATCAATATTTTATTTCAGATTTCAAACAATTTGCTGAATTTAAAAATTCTCACTTTTAGGCCATGCTCCTTCAAATGCTATAGAACTGCTATCAAATGAAGAGAGAACTCTTGTACATACTAATTTCAGTACTTGCACTGGTTTCATTTGCACCAACTCTTCTTTGATAAAATGCAAAAAATATTGGGAAGGGACTGTTCACAATTATATGCTTGTGAGAGAAAAGTTATCAAGAGACTTGTAAATAATTTTTTGAAGTCCAAACAGTATGCAGAAAGGAAATTTAGATACCTTAGTAACTGAAAGTTTTCATAAATGGAAAAGACAAGGAAATATGTTAGACAAGGATATTCACTGAGTTGTTTTGGTTTGTATGCTTTTACTGGCAACTGTGAGGGCACCCATGAGGACAGAAAAGGCCTAAGAAAGCATCTGAAAAGCTACTTATATAGGTAAAGCTTAGATTCCTTCAACGTGAGTGGGAGTTTGGCAGACACTCCAGAGCCCTAAGACATGCAGAAAATATGGGATACACTATGACCAAAGCAACAATGCAAGTGACTTGTTCACCTTGTGCTACCTCACCCTGCACTGGACCTGCTGCCACCCCTGAACACCCTGTTTGAGACCTCCTGCATTGCCCATCCCACTCTGTCCTCCTGGTGTCACAAGACACATCTCCTGCCACCACCCCCAGGGACAGGGAGCAGTGGCACTCACTGTCTGCATGTGCATCATGTGCAGTGGCACTGGTGGCTGCACTGGTGACACCCAGGCTTCATTGTAGATTAATGTCCAAGCAGTTCAAAGGTGGGTGGGCTGAGACCTCTGAGGTCAGCTCACCTTCTGGCTGCCTTTCTCCAAGGGCAGAAAGTAAAGAAACTATTTTTATCCACATTAGTTGTTGAAGAAGGGAAGTTTGGTGAAAGGAAAAAGAAAAGGTAAAAAATACTCACAACTCCTCTTTTGACAAATGGCCACCTTGACTTTTTGGACTCTAATGGGTAAAACAAATGTTATCAGTAAAGAAACAAATAGCTAAAAATAAAACTGTTATTTATATTATTTATATATTTATATCTATTTATATATTTATTTTTGGGTGAAGTTTGATAGAATATGCACTACTTGACTCAGATTTAATGCTTGTGTTTGGGCTGTTTGTGCATTGGACTTAAACCCCTAGGTTGCTGGGTTCCTCCTAGCAAGAATTATGACTATCTGTGATGTGATTTTGGATGATGCCAAACACTCCTACTTGTTTCAGATGATCAGTATTTGATTGCCAAATCTTTACACGGGAAAATCATCATACCTCAAGACAATTCTTGAAGGTATTGTTTTAAAGCAAAAATTGGTCTGTGTGTGCACATTAGTGACAATTTGGAGTTATGGAGATATTCAGAACTCCTTTGAATAAACAATCATACAAGCCCTAAGCCTCAGATCTGTCATGAGGCTGGCACAGTGGAGCCAATTAAAAGTTGTGGTCCTTGGTGGGGCACAGGGAAAGATGGGGATCTAGATTTAGCAACGCACGGGTGAGTGGTGAAGAATGACTGTGGTTCAGCAAGAAATCTGAAAAGGTTTTGTGTTATGTGGCACCTATTTTCCGGCCTGTGTGTGAGTGGAAATCACAGTCAAAACTTTGTCCTTTGAGTTTTTGGAGGTCTTGGTTGTTCTGGGAGTGGCTGGCTTATTTGCTGTCATGGAGATGCTGGAGCTGCAGTCAAGCTACCTTGACTGACTTGCTTTTCAAGAAACTTTTGATCCCTGGCCACCAGGATCTTTGGTCTCTGGTAATCACACTTCCAACATTACTATATATTCCACAATAGATACTTGTGGAAATTGCTTGCAGGTCTACATTTCAGTTTTGGAAGGTCTTGTGAACAACCTCTAGCCATGAGTTGCACCTGCAACTCATGTTGTCAGAATCTTGTTGCCAGAGGGTAACTGGAAAGGGCAGTACGGGCCACTCTCTTTCCTCTGCTTGAAACTTTGAAGGGAGGAAATTGTATCTCATCTGCTTGCATTGGCAATTGAATCACTTTGGTGTGGGGTAACAGGAACCCCCCCAGAGGCTGCACTTCCTCATGTTAACACTGTTCCCATCCTCCCTCCCCATCCCACATGCACACATATTCCAGTCCTGGCTTTTGCTGGGCTCAGAGGAACAAACCTCCCCCCATGCCCCCTGCCCCACGTCTGACCTGCACTTAGCAGGAAGGATGAGTAGGGCAGGTAGTCCATGGCACTGTCTGACACCAGAAGGTCTCCAGGGAACACCTCGAGTCCTGGCAGACTCACTACCAGGGAGCTACGCCTGCGCTCGGCTGATCTGTGAGATGCAACAACAACACACATCATCTCTCTCCGCTTGAGGCTGCAGAGGAAACTTCTGAAGTGCTCCTTGCTGATACAGGAGAAAATCAGCTAAAAAACCAAATCACAGTAGCTATGACATAATGTGTTAAAAGAACAATGAGTAGAAAATTTCAGTGATCAGCATCAGATATCTAATTATCTTTCAAACTCCTCAGTGATGCTGAGATCAAGGTGCTTATGGACATGGCTTGCCTCAGATAATAATTATAGCATTTAGATATTGGAAATACCTGGATTCTTCTGAGGTTAGGCAAAAGTATTCTTTTATATTGAATGTAATAAAACTTAGTGGCCCTACTGATAAAAAATAAATGGCTCTTCCCAACTATTGTTGCTCCTAACAGAGAGCATTGTCCAGCATCATCCTATCAAGGAAAGTGACATAGGCATTCTATATCCAACTGCATGTTTGTGCCAGAGGCTGCTTGCATTCACATACAGAAACTGTTGGTGCATATCAAAAACCTTTTAGGATTTTGCTAATAATCCACACTGATACCGAATTAATTTAGT